GTTCGGCGCCTGCGGCGGGTTTAGTTTGCATTCGTTCCAGGTGGAGAACCTGCGACCCACCCACGCAAACCGCGTTCAGTGTACAAATCAAAATGTTCGGCGCATGCGGCGGGCTGTTTTTTTAATCCCTCCCAAGTGGAGGTGGAGAGCCCGCGACCCACCCGCGACCCACCCAGCGACCCACTCGCGACCCACCCGCGACCCCCCCGCGACCCACCCGCGACCAAACCCGCGACCCACCCCGCGACCACCCCGCGACCACGCCCCACGCCGCGACCCGCCCACAACCCACCCCGAGACCCCCATGGCGACCCACCCGCGACCCACCGACGACCCACCCGCGACCCACCCGCGACCCACCTCGCGACTCACCCGCGACCACCCACCAGCGACCCACCGCGACCCAACCGCGACCCACCCGCGACCCACCCCGCGACCCACCCAAAATGTTCGGCGCCTGCGGCGGGTTTATTTTGCATTCGCTCCAGGTGGAGAACCTGCGACCCACCCACCAAAACCGCGTTCAGTGTACAAATCAAAATGTTCGGCGCATGCGGCGGGCTGTTTTTGAATTCCTCCCAAGTGGAGGTGGAAAGCCCGCGACCCAACCGCGACCCACCCGCGACCCACCCCGCGACCCACCCAAAATGTTCGGCGCCTGCGGCGGGTTTATTTTGCATTCGCTCCAGGTGGAGAACCTGCGACCCACCCACCAAAACCGCTTTCAGTGTACAAATCAAAATGTTCGGCGCATGCGGCGGGCTGTTTTTTGAAATCCTCCCAAGTGGAGGTGGAAAGCCCGCGACCCAACCGCGACCCACCCGCGACCCACCCAAAATGTTCGGCGCCTGCGGCGGGTTTATTTTGCATTCGCTCCAGGTGGAGAACCTGCGACCCACCCACCAAAACCGCGTTCAGTGTACAAATCAAAATGTTCGGCGCATGCGGCGGGCTGTTTTTGAATTCCTCCCAAATGGAGGTGGAGAGCCCGCGACCCACCCGCGACCCACCCCGCGACCCACCCCGCGACCTACTCGCGACCCACCCGCGACCCACCCCGCGACCCACCCGCGACCAAACCCGCGACCCGCCCCGCGACCCACCCACCCCGCGACCACCCGCGACCACCCCGCGACCCACGCCGAAACCCCCATGGCGACCCACCCGCGACCCACCGACGACCCACCCGCGCCCCACCCGCGACCCACCCCGCGACCACCCGCGACCCACCCGCGACCCACCCGCGACCCACCCCCATGGCGACCCACCCGCGACCCACCGCGACCCACGCGACCCACCCGCGACCCACCCCGCGACCCACCCGCGACCCACCCGCGACCCACCCGCGACCCACCGCGACCCAACCGCGACCCACCCGCGACCCACCCCGCGACCCACCCAACATGTTCGGCGCCTGCGGCGGGTTTAGTTTGCATTCGTTCCAGGTGGAGAACCTGCGACCCACCCACCCAAACCGCGTTCAGTGTACAAATCAAAATGTTCGGCGCATGCGGCGGGCTGTTTTGGAATTCCTTCCAGGTGGAGGTGGAGAGCCCGCGACCCATCCGCGACCCAAACTACGTTCACTGAACAAGCCGAAACTTCGGCGCCTGCGCGGGTTTCTTTTGCATCGGCGACCCACCCGCGACCCACCCGCGACCCACCGCGAGACCCACCCGCGACCCGCCAAGCGACCCACCCGCGACCCACCCGCGACCCACCCGCGACCCACCCGCGACGCACCCGCGACCCACCCCGCGACCCACCCAAAATGTTCGGCGCCTGCGGCGGGCTTCTTTTGAATCTCTTCCAGGTGGTTGAATTTGTTCCAGGTGGAGAACCTGCGACCCACCCGGGACCCAAACCGCGTTCAGTGTACAAATCAAAATTTTCGGGGCATGCGGCGGGCTGTGTTTGAATTCCTTCCAGGTGGAGGTGAAGAGCCGCGAACCACCGCGACCCAAACTACATTCACTGAACAAGCCAAGGTGAGGGCCAAGGTCCGCGGGCTCGAAGCCCGCGTCGCCCGCGCCCGCCCCCTCACTCTTATCCACAATCGCGGGGTGCTACGTATCAAATCGCATCCCAGAATCCAGCAAATTTGGATTGGCGGCGATAGCAGGCATTATGGTTAAGTCGGGCGTGTCCCCCTACAGGGGGATTTTGGACGACAAACATACTCATACGTAGGAAAAAGATGCTAGAGAAATCGTCCCCAGACTGTTATCTCCAATTTTGGAATATTTCTCCTGTAGAGGGACACGCCCTACTTCACGTTATGGGGGGAGAAGAGGGAAGCTGGGTGTGTGTGGGGGGGGGGGCGAATTTCAACGCCCCACCACAGACTGTGGTGCCAGACGCACCGCGGCAGTGCCGAGGGCGCGGTGTGGACGGTTCTCCCGCGGCCGTAGGCGACCCGAGAAGGAGGCGGGGGAGGACGAGGAGGAGGAGGAGGAGGAGGAGAAGGAGGAAGAGGAGGGGGAGGAGGAGGGGGGGAGAAGGGGAGGAGGAGGAGGAGGAGGAGGAGGAGGAGGAGGAGGGGGAGGAGGAGGGGGAGGAGAAAGCGGAGGAGGAGGAGGAGGAGGAGGAGGAGGAGGATGCGATGCGAGCGACCACCGTTGCGGACAGCGTCCGGGCCTAGGGCAGACTAGGTGGGTGAGGCCATGGCCTCTAGGATCTGAGGTGTCTGGATTCATGCAATGCGAGACAAGTAAAAAGTTAGGAGGAGAGGGGGAGGAGAAGGAAAAGAAAGTCCTTGGTGTCGGTGTCGGCGCGGGTTGGGCGAGATCACGTCATTGGTCTGAGTCCCGGGTGCTGGTCGACGTGAGGTCGGTGAAGTGGTGCTCGAGCGCTGTCCATGCTTCGGTGTCTTGGGCTGTTTGCGTCCATGTGATGTCGTTCGGTTGTCCTTTCGAAAGGGCTTGCGTGGGCGGTCGCCTAAGCCCTGCGGAGAAATCCTCCAGGGCGGTGGGGGGAGCGTGACGCCATGTAGAGAGCATAATATCCACCCTTCATAACAAGCACCGCGACAAGCGAAGCCGCTCAGTAAACGCACTCAACGAAGGAATCGAACAGGGCGGGGCTGTTTAGTAAACGCCTAGGGCCGCTTAGCGAACGCCAGTTCTCGGGGTCGGGGTGGTTTCTCCTCCCTTCAATGGGGGTGTGAGGGAAGAGAGGGCCCAAAAATCCGATGTCGTGATTTTTACCCATAGGCGGTCCCCGGAAGTTCTGACCCATTCACCAGGACCGGTTTCTCATCCTGAGTCCTTGTTTGACGGTCCCGAGGCCCGGCGAGGGCCCCTAGTAGGGGAACAACAAAAAGTAACACAAACATAAAAACTCGGAGGTCCGCGCGGATTTCTCGGATCGGCGCTGGGGCCCCCCCAGCGGCGCCTCCAGCGCCGCCCCTGGCGCGCTCCGCGCGCCAGGGAGGGGGGTCCAGCGCCGATCCGAGAAATCCGCGCGGACCTCCGAGTTTTTATGTTTATGCCACTTGTTGTTCCCCGACTTGAGCTTTGGAGAAAAAACGCAAATGTGAGAAAAAACGAAATGTGAGAAAAACCTACACGCGGGGCCGAAACGTGAGAAAAACCTCCGTCTCGAGTTTTTCCAATGCGCCGGATGATCTCTGGGGAGGGGCACGGCGCGCGTCCTGGCCTTCAAAACAGACATCCCCGCAGGGCCCCGCTCCTCTTTGCGGCGACACCTCTGCTCGGGCGTTGGCAGAACTGGGTTCAGTGGAACCTGGTTTGGTGATGTGTAACCCGGAGAAGCAATTAAGGACCCCCCCGGCGTTATCATTAGCACCGCGCCGTAATTCAATAATAATTTTTGGGGGGTTTTCGCCGAGCGATATTATTAGCACCGCGCAAATGGAAGGAAAATAGGAAAATAAATAATTCCAGCGCCCCGCCTCGGGTGGCATCCCAATTAGAATTGTAATGATAATAAGAATACGATCTGTACCCCCTCCTGGTGCCAGGATAACGCTTCCGGGTGCCGGGTGCGTTATCCTTTCACCGGAGAGGGGGGGGGGGTCCTTAATCGCTTACTCGGGTTACTGGGAACGCCCCCGCTTCTCTTTGCGGCGACGCCTCTGTTCGCAGGGGAACAAAAAAAGTCACGTAAACATAAAAAAAACTCGGAGGCCCGCGCGGATTTCTCGGCTCGGCGCTGGACCCCTCTCCCTGGCGCGCGGAGCGCGCCCGGGGGGCCCCAGCGCCGATCCGAGAAATCCGCGCGGACCTCCGAGTTTTTATGTTTATGCCACTTTTTGTTCCCCCAGTTCGGGCGTTGGCAGAACTGGGCTTCGTGGGACCTGGTCTGGTGGTGTGTACTGGGGACGCCCCACCCCCCGCCCCGTTCTACGGACCGGCTCTGCCATCACCCGAAACAGCACCAGCTGCGGCAGGCCTGGTTTGGTGATTCTGGCCTATTTGGGGGCTCCGGAGCCCTACACCCTGCGAGATGCTTAAGAAATCATGGGTTAAGAAATTCATAGTCTCAGACTTTGGATAAAAAACCCGAACTTCGATTAGAATCATAGGATTTACATTGAAACATTAAGAATAATCGAGATTCTGGCCGAAAACTTAAGTTTTCTTAAGCATCGCCTAGGGTGTACTACTAACCGACTCCCCTTACCCGGGGTCCTGGCTATACCCGATCTGTGCGCAGGCCGAGCGTCGCCGACGCTTCTCCTCGGCACCGCCTCGCGCCCGGCAGGAGCGCGACGGGGGCGGACCTTGCCGGTCAGGCACGTGTGGAGAGCCCTCCTCCTCCTCCTCCTCCTCCTCCTCCTCCTCCTCCTCCTCCTCCTCCTGCTCCTGCTCCTCCTCCTCCTCCTCCTTCCTCCTCCTCTCCTCCTCCTCCTCCTCCTCGTCCGCCTCCGCCTCCGCCTCCTCCTCCTCCTCCTCCTCCTCCTGCCACCCCACCCTCTCCCTCGTGGCAGTGTTTGCCTTCCTCCGCGCTCACGCCCGGCAGGCGCGATGGGGGCGGGCCTTCCCGGTCAGGCAGGTGTAGAGAACCACGCCCGCGGCCCAGGTGTCGGCCTGTCGGGAGCTCGGCGGCGGCGCGGGCCGTGGCGGCGAGAGCGACGGGAGCGAAGGCGGAGGGGGTCCAAGGCCAGCAGCCCTAGTCGAACCTATACGCTTAGGTCGGGCGTGTCCTCCTACAGGGGGAGTTTGGATGAAAACCAAGAGATCGCAAAAAATACTCAAACATTCTCAACATTGGTCGAAAAATCGTCCCCAAACTATGTTTGAGACTATTTTTGTATGTTCCTTCTGTAGAGGGACAGGCCCGACTTCACCATAGGCACGGGGAGGGGCCGAAACGGCAAGGCGCCCCGGGATCAGCCAGGGCACCCAGTTGGATCAGGCCAAAGAAAGTGAACCTTTGGCATGGGCACTCCCTCCCTTCCCCTCCGAGCCACGCCTGCGTGGCGGAGGAGCACGAGAGCTCAGTTGGGCACACTGACCGCTTCGTTGTTGTATCTATATATATATCGAGATACGTATCTCTCACTCACTCTCTCTCTCTCTTTCTCTTTCTCTTCCCTCCTCTTTTCGGGTGTTCCTTGAGCGCGCGCGCCTATATTCAGCCTGAGGGTGTCACTCAGGTTGGCTTGTTCGGAGTTTCCTGCCCGACGTGGGTTTGTGTGATGACACTGAGGGGATCGGGAGGGGCGCGTGGGAACAGGAAGACGAGAGTGGGGAAGTGGGCACATGCAGGATGGGGGGAGGGGGCGGAACGAGAGGCAGGGGAAAGGAGGAGGAGAGGGATGAGGAAAGGAGACGCGCGGGAGCGAGGGGCTGAGGGGAACCCGACGCTCTGCCACTTCCAGGGGCCCACGGAGACGGCAGGGAGCGAAGACCCAGACGCACAGACACGCACACCTGCCAATCCCCCGTTTACTCGTGCTCGCGCATGCACGTATGCTGCGTCGGGCAATGCGGCCTTCGCGGTAAACTTGCGGGGTGGGCTCTCCATCGCCGTGATCGTGAAATCGGAGCTGAGCTCCATGAGGGTGTTGACGATCTTAGGCACCTGCAAGCGCAGCGAGACAAAAACGACGGACGTTTACGTAGAAGTGTGAGGGGAACGCAATGAGAGGGAAGGACAAAGGGGGGATCAGGTGGAGGGGTAAACTCCTCAAACAGTGCTTGCACTCGGGGCATCTTACTTCTGCTATCAGGAACTGGGCCGGTTTGTCGGTCTGGCGGCTACGTACTCGCAATCGCCGAGCCGTCGCGGCCTCGTCGCCGCCCGTCGTGTTGTCGGTCTGGCGGTATGTACTCGCCGTCGCCGCCGCGTCGCCGCCTCGTCGCCACCCAACGTTTGGGCCTTTCTGGCGGTCTGGTGGCCCCGTGGTCGCCGTCGCCGCCCCGTCGCCGACCCGTCGCCGCCCCGTCGCCGCCTCGTCGCCGCCCGTCGCCGCCGCCTGAAGACTGCACCGCATAGCTTGCACTACATAGCTTGCACCACGTCTACTGCTCCGCGTACTCCAGATTTCATAATAAAAGGGAGGGGGTCTCATTTCGGGGGGGGTCTCTTCCAGGCTATCTTGGAGGGCCTGGGGGGGTCTGGGGACGATGTTTTGGAGGGTTCTCCCACACGGGGGGGGGTCTGAAATGGCTTGTCTTGGAGGGTCCAGACCCCCTCCCTTTTGTTACGAAATCTGGAGTAACCTGCACCACATGCACTGCACAGCCCGGCTTGCAGCACACGGCGTGCACCGTGTGGACTGCGCCGCACACAGATCGCACCACAGTGTGTGCTGCTCCGCATCCTCCGCCGTGCCTCGAGGCACGGGGGGGTGGCGTGTCCTCAGGTCCGCTCCCGTAGCCCTCTGTCCTCGGTCCTCGGCCCTCGGGGTTGAGTCGGGGAGACGTAAGACCCGGGTACGGGGGACTCGGGAATCCCCGACGAGGTCGTCAAAAAAATGACGAGGCCGAGCCTGCATTTTGACGAGGCCTCCCGCTGCAGACGTCCCACAAAGCTCCTCCTCGTCAAAATCCGAGTCGCGGTCGTCAAAAAACGATGGCGAACCCGAGTCCCGGCAAACCCGGGTCTTACGCTCCCGCGGTTGAGGATCAAGGGGCTCGGACTCGAAACTCCCGGCATCTCCGGGACGTGGCGCGTGTCCCCCGGGGCTCGTCGCGTCTTGTCGCGTGACCGTTTCGGGCCCAAGAGAGCCCCAAGACGGGCCAAGCGGGCCCCCAGGAGGCCTCCAAGACGGCCTCCAAGACGGCCTCGAGTCGCCGAAAGATCGTTCTAAGACGCCCAAGATGGCACCAAGACGGCCCAAGAGGCCTCCAAGACGCCCAAAGAGGCCGCCAAGAGCCTCCCAAGATACCAAACTTTTGGTTTGGTATCTTGTTTTGGCTTGGCTTTTTGATAGATTTTGGTGCTCTCGTCTTTTCGGCTTCCTGACGCTCCCAGATTGCCCTGGAGGCCCCCAAGACGGCCCCAAGATGGCCCAAGAGGTCTCCAAGAGGGCCCTGCAACGACCCAAAAGGGACCCAAGACAGCCCAAGAGGCACCCAAAACGGCCCAAGAGGGACAGACGGCCCCAAAAAGGGTGAACAAGAGGGAACACGAACCGAAAATCAGGCCCCCAGGAGGCCCCAAGAGGTGCCCAGGAGGCCCCATGAGGCCCCAAATAGACCCTAAGAAGCCCACATGAGGCCCAAGAGAGGCCCCAAGAGTATCCCAAACTGCCCCTAAGAGGCGTCCACACTGCCTCCAAGAAGCCCCCGAGAAGCCTCCCACGAGATCCCAACCAACACCCAATAGGCTTCATACCCACAACCCAGGGCACGGTGGCGGGATGGACCGAAGGCCATTACATAGATTGCGCCACAGAGGTTGCACTGCATAGGTTGCACCACATATATTGTACACCATTTGCTGCTCCACATAGATTGCGCCAAATCGATTGCATCACACATGTTGCACCACATGGCTTGCACCATGCATATTGCATCACACAGATTGCAAAAATACAGACTGAACAAACATCGAGTGTTCAATAGATGCCAACGCATGGTTTTCACCATGCAGTGTCCTACAAGGGTTGCACAACATGGATTGTCAGAAACATACTGCTTGGGGTCTACTCTGGCTGACATATCATACTAGGGTGTAGCAAATCGAGGATGAGACATACGAGGAACGATGGAGGCAAACGGGAAAGGAGCAGGACGCAAATAGCCTGCTCGTAAGGGGAAACAGAAGATCGAGCAGGAAGGGCGGAAACCAACCATGGGGGGCAGACAAGGATCTGCCTGGGGGAAGAATCTGGGAGCAGGCCAACACAGGAACACGGTTCACACTCCAGTCGCGCAAAGCAATCTTCCGAACGAACTGCGGCATGCTCTCCATGCCACGAGCATGCTGGGTCATGTAGAGAAAAGTTGATCATGTACTGGAACCATGCGCGCCTCGCGCGCGACTAAAATTCTAGTTCAGGAGCTCGTGTTCACACCCTCACGTCCCAGATGTCCTTCTGCTATTTTGTTGACTGCTCCCGTAGCCTGACTCGACGGCAGGAAGGAGGGCGCACCACAAAAGGAAGATGGAGGAGGTCTCGAAGGGAGGACACCTGTGGTCAATCCTTGTCTTCCTCCTGCGCCTCATTTATCCTCCTCCCTTCGACTGTTTTCCTCCGGACACACCCTCTGCTTTCTCGCAAGCACAACACGCGCATCCCGCGCGCGTAGGATCTCGTGCGGGACATGGCAACCTCATGATACAATGGGTGTATGTCGCCACCTCTTCTGGGGCGAAACCTTTCTGGTATACCTCAATAGCACGCCCATTCCTCTGGCGTCGTCGGCGTCGTCGTGGTCGTCGTCGTCGTCGTTGATGTGAGCATCGTCGTCGTGGTCGTCGTCGTCCTGGTCGTCGTCGTGGTCGTCGTGGTCGTCGTGGTCGTCGTCGTCGTGGTCGTCGTCGTGAGCATCGTTGTCGTGAGCATCGTCGTCGTCGTGGTCGTCGTCGTAGTGAGCACCGTCGTCGTCGTGGTCGTCGTCGTCGTCGTCGCCATCGTCGTGAGCATCGTCGTCGTCGTGGTCGTCGTCGTCGTCGTGAGTATCGTGGTCGTCGTGGTCGTCGTCGTCGTCGTCGTCGTCGTGGGTGTCGTCGTCGTCGTCGGCGTCGTGATCATCGTCGTCGTCATGGTCGTCGCCGGCGCGGCAATGATCCAGCCAGTCGTGATCCAGCGCATGCATAAGTGAGCACGCCTGCTTGCGCGACTGCAGAGAAGAGGTGGCGCCCGTGTTGGGTCTCAGCCCCACGAGGGCACACGGAGGGCTCATGTGGAGCACTCGGGCGGAACCCCAGATACTTACGAATCTACAGCGTGGGCGATCCGCCAAGTACGTGAGGCATACAAGGTGTACAGGCCACTGGCCCTGGAACGCCAACGAAGAACGCCGAAGTATGATGTACGGCCCCAGAACATGGAGTAAAGGTCTTTCGAAAACCCCCCAATAGGGGGTAACTAATTATTTGTTCAGCGGCCATATTGGAGGACTGGGGTTACACCAATGGGGGGTAACGAATTATTTTTTTTTTTCCGTAGCAACCGCCGCGCAACAACGACGACGACGACAGATACGACTACGCTTCCGACAACGACTACGATGGAAGAATAGGGGCCATTCTTAGGACGAGTTCGATTCACCGCTGAAAGAAAAGAGGGGCAAAAACAACAGACCTCCCTCGGTTACTGTGCGAGTGCACTCAATTGCGAGTCTGGTGCCTCGTGGCATCACCACTGCATGTGTCAACAATGCTGGCGAACCTTGGTGTGCGAGGCGTCGTCTGGGTTCATCTGGAACAGCATGGTCTCGACGTCAATGTCATTAATTTTCAACAAGATCCTTCAGAACAGTGCGTCATGGCAAACACACACGCGACTCGAACAACCAAGTCTGGTCAAATTCATCAGATCGCTTACGCTGCCCAGTAATATGGCGGGCCAAACAGAAGACGGGGGCAAGCCAAGACAGGCACACGCTAGGTCAGAAGGGTGCGAGCTAACCCGGAGAAGCAATTAAGGAACCCCCCGGCGTTATCATTAGCACCGCGCCGTAATGAAATAATTATTTGGGGGGGTTTTCGCCGAGCGATATTATTAGCACCGCGCAAATGGAAGGAAAACAAATAATTCCAGCGCCCCGCCTCGGGTGGCATCCCAATTAGAATTGTAATGGGACCCGTGCGATCTGGTGTACCCCCTCCTGGTGCCAGGATAACGCTTCCGGGTGCCGGGTGCGTTATCCTTTCACCGGAGAGGGGGGGAGGGGGTCCTTAATCGCTTACTCGGGTTACTGGGAACGCCCCCGCTTCTCTTTGCGGCGACGCCTCTGTTCGCAGGGGGAACAAAAAAAGTCACGTAAACATAAAAAAAACTCGGAGGCCCGCGCGGATTTCTCGGCTCGGCGCTGGACCCCTCTCCCTGGCGCGCGGAGCGCGCCCGGGGGGCCCCAGCGCCGATCCGAGAAATCCGCGCGGACCTCCGAGTTTTTATGTTTATGCCACTTTTTGTTCCCCCAGTTCGGGCGTTGGCAGAACTGGGCTTCGTGGGACCTGGTCTGGTGGTGTGTACTGGGGACGCCCCACCCCCCGCCCCGTTCTACGGACCGGCTCTGCCATCACCCGAAACAGCACCAGCTGCGGCAGGCCTGGTTTGGTGATTCTGGCCTATTTGGGGGCTCCGGAGCCCTACACCCTGCGAGATGCTTAAGAAATCATGGGTTAAGAAATTCATAGTCTCAGACTTTGGATAAAAAACCAGAACTTCGATTAGAATCATAGGATTTACATTGAAACAAGAAGAATAATCGAGAGGGGGGTTATCCTTTCACCGGAGAGGGGGGGGGGGGCCCTTAATCGCTTACTCGGGTTAGTCTCCGTTTGCCCCCTCTCGCACGTGCACGGGCGGGGTGCTGCGAGCGGCAACACTCAGCGGCGCTCGCTTCTCAGCACCGCCGTGGCGATCTGCGGACGGACCCTCACGGCTGGCTTCTTCTGCAGGGGCCCCAGGACACACAAATGAATACACACAAATAAAAAGATTCCCCATATTTTCCCATATTTTCGGGGTTTCTGTCTTCCCCCCCACTTCCCATATTTTCCCATATTTTCTGGGGAATCGAGGATTAATTGTGTCTGTGTGTTTCTTTTCCTCCTGATTTTCATCACGAATCCACACGATCGGTTCCTGAACTCGTCCGTTACAAAGCCACCAGACAAGCTCAGGGAACAAATAAGGATACAAACATGCACTCTCGGAGGTCCGCACGAGCTTCTTGGATCCGCGTGGGACGCCCCTCCCTGGCGCGCTTCGCGCGACAGGGGTGGCGCTGGAGGCGCCGCGCCGATCCAAGAAATCAGCGCGGGTTTGTGAGCGTTTTCTCATTCGGCGTTTCGACATCGGGCGGAAGGGGAGGAGGAGGGGGGAGGTGGGGTCCTGGCTCTGGACCTCTGCTCAATGCGGCCGTTTGGAACCGTGCGTCCTCTGGGGGAGACCCCCCTTGCTTGAAACAGACGCCCAAAACAGCCAAGATCTACTCCATGAAGGGGGGGGAGGGGGGAGGGGGGGTGCGCGGGCCCGTACCGATCGGCAAAACAATCTCCGGAAATTGATGTGTATCTCATGATTGTTTTGCCGAGAAGCCGTCGCGGCGATCGATGGGCGGGACCCTGGTGGCTGGCTTCTGCCACGGGCGCCACCAGGAGCAGACGATGCGCACACGCTGCCTCGCCACCTCTCGCAGGCAAGTCACGTCGCTCGAGCACATCATCACGAGTCGACTCTGACCACCTTCCAGACCACCCAAAAACAGCCCCAACCCGAAACCCCGAAGTCCGGGTTGGGCGGCGTACGAGATCCATCGGTGCGCTTTCACTGTTTCGGGATGCCCCCACCAGTAGGAATGGAGCGCAACTTGCGGCCTTCGGGCTGGGTTGGGGTGGGTTGGGGTGGTCTGGTGGGTAACGAGACCCGCCCCCGCACGAGGCGACCAGCTCGGGCGAGCACCCCGCCAAGATCGGGGGGCCCGCCCACCCCACCCCATCACCGCCGCCCGAGTGCCGGCCCGCCCTGCCCGCCCGAGGGACGCCCGCCCCCCCCCCGTTTGACGCTGCGCAGGCTCGAGGCGAACACCTGGAGCGTGCATCGGGTCGGGCGAAAGGGGGGGATAGCAAAGGGGGGGTTTGAGAATCAGCTCACGTAGCTGATTTTCCCGGCGCCTCCCGGCGCCAGAGGCGGCCCTGTATCGAGGAATGGGCCCCTCGGTGGGGCCGAAACCAGCTGCACGCAGCAAATTTCGTAACCCCCCCTTTCCCAATCCCCCCCTTTCGCCCGGCCCGAGTGCAGGAGGACAAAAAGCCGACCTACTGGGCAGTCGAAGCCAATCTGGCGCCAATCTGGCAAGCCCAATCTGGCAAACGGGGGCAATCTGGCGAGGGAGCCAACGCGAGTCCAGTCTGGCGAATCACCCAAATCCTCCAGCTTGGCCGGGCCAGATTGGCCCTGGGGGCCCAATCCAATCTGACAGTCTGGCCTTCGACTACCCAGAGAGGGACGCCCACCCCCCCCCGTTTGACGCTGCGCAGGCTCGAGGCGAACACCTGGAGCGTGCAGGAGGACAAAAAGCCGACCTAGCCTGGCCATCGCTCGGACGTCCATTCCTTGTGTTTTTCTCGGCTTCCTGCGTGGATTTGTCGCCAAATGATCAGGGATACTCCTCGAGGGTCCTAGCCGAAGGAAAAAGGCACACGTCCGAGCGATGCCAAGCAGCGGAGCGCGAAGCAAAGGAAGCCCGGCCGGCGCCCCAGGCCGAGGCGGGCCAGCAGTGCAGGCAGAGTCGGGGGCCCCCGAGGGCGCGGGTGCGCGGGGACGACAGCCGGGCGGTGCGCGGGGGCGCGAGGCCCCTCGATCGATGCACCCAGTCCAGATTTCGTAATCAAAGGGAGGGGGTCTGGACCCTCCAAGACAAGCCATTTCAGACCTCCCCCGTGGGAGAACCCTCCAAAACATCGTCCCCAGACCCCCCCAGGCCCTGCAAGAGAGCCTGGAAGAGACCCCCCCCGAAATGAGACCCCCCTCCCTTTTATTACGAAATCTGGAGTGGTCAATCCACGACGATCCAAACGGAGAAGGACGATCTGCATGTGCAAAGTGCAGATGACGTCCGCCCCCCCTCCCCTGCCCTTCGACTCTCGGCGGGGGAGAGGCATGGACCCAGTTGAACAAGGACCGACCGTCCCGGCATTCCTAGTCATACCACGAAATGTTCTTAGAGCCCCAAAATGTTCCAAGAACCAAAACAGTGCTCTTAGAACATAAACTCGAGGTGATAAAACAAGACAGACTGCGCCAGAAATGTTCTAAGAACATTTCGTGGAAACCACAAAAGGTTATGAGAAAATTGTTTGGTAGGGATATAGGCGAGCCAGGCCAGGACGCTTCGCCACTGCTTGAAAAGTGCAGATGACGGCCCCCCCCCCTCCCCTCCCCTTCGACACTCGGCGGGGGAGATATCCCAAAAATACTTTCGAGCACCCAGAAAAGTGTCGAAACAGTGCCAGAACACTGTCGAAACGGTGTCGGGCGAGTGCTCCCCAGGGCCCGACACGCGAAAACCCTTGAGGTTCGGTACTTTTTTGGGGGCGCTCGAACTTCTTCCTGGTGGTCAAGACTCAAGTAGGTTGGAGCATCATAAGGCGAGGCGCCAAGGTCGGGTCGGGCAAAAGGGGGGGATAGCAAAGGGGGGTTTGAGAATCAGCTCACGTAGCTGATTTTCCCGGCGCCTCCCGGCGCTGGAGGCGGCTATGTATCGAGGAATGGGCCCCTCGGTGAGGCCGAAACCAGCTGCGTGCAGCAAATTTCGTAACCCCCCTTTTCCCAATCCCCCCCCTTTCGTCCCGCCCGAGCCAAGGGGGGGGGTGCGGCAGGGGGGGCGGCTGCAGGACGGGGGGCGCACCGGCTGCCGCGCTGGCGTGGGCACCCCCCGCCCCGGCCCGCGCGCACAGCTCCGCGCGGCGGAGCGGCCGGAGAGGCCTCCCCATCGGATGGGGCCCGAGCAGTGCGGGTCGGACCCCACCTGGGAGGCCTGGCTCGGCACTCGGCGATCGGGGGAGGGGGGCGGCAGCCAGAGCCCTGGGATGAGGCCCACCGTCGGGTCTGGGTCGGACCCCATCCGGGAGGCCTGGCTCAGCACTCCGCGATCAGGGGTGGGGAGAGGAGGCAGCCAGAGCCCTGGGACGAGGCCCACCATCGGCTGCAAAAAGGGGAAGCCGCTTCGACGTTCCCCGGGTCCTTCGTGGGTCGTCCCCTGGCGCTCCTCGTGCCCCTGGGCGCTGCTGCGGACGATAGCTACCCCGAAGCTCGAGGTCCGGAAGATACAGTGGATCCATCTGAGAACCCCCAGGCCTTACGAAGAGGTCGCGCTTCCGAAGGCCACCTGCTTACCCTCCATCTCCTCCCCCTCCCCCAATGAGGGCGACCAGAAAGGCGAAAGGGCGACGAGAAAGGCGAAGGCAACAACGGATGACGGCAGCAACGGCGAAGGAGGCGGCGACGACGGCGGCGACGACAGCGACAACTACAAACGACGGCGACCAGAAGGACTAAGCCACCGAGGATGGCAGCGTGAACAGCGACAGCAGTGACAGCGAGGAAGACGGCGAGATCGAAGATCAAGACGACGACGACGGCGGCGACGAGGCAGACGAATGAGAGGAGAAGAACCAGGAATACCTTGAGACCGCCCGAATAGGGCCTGAGCAGGATGGGCTCAGAGGGTCGCACCGCATCGGCGATATGCCGGCGACATCGGAAAGGAACATGTCGCGCTGCATCGCCGATGTATCAACGATGCGGCGCGATCATCCAACCCCATCTACCTTGGGCCCATCTGAGCGTCCTGGAATGTGGATTTCGCGAAGCCCGCCTTCTTGAGGGAGCAAAGAAGGCCGATACCGCTTCTCCCCGGACCCCTTCCAGGGAGCGTCGTGACCAGGTTCTCCACCCGGCGGGAGAGCAGTGGTGACGAGAGCACCCCAATGAGGCTCAAAAAGGAGAACGATGGAACATGTTATCAGTTCTGTGTCAACTCCAGGGAGCCTCCCATACCATATTGTATCTTGTTGGCTCTTGCGAACCGACGCTACTTGACACGTGTCGACGATCATCGACGCTAAATCGACTCGAATCGACGCTAATCGACGCTACAGCGGCGCTAGCTCATCGACTACCAGACGCCAGGCGACGAATCCATTCTACGAGCGGAATTACGAAGGATTGCAAGGCGAATCTGATTTTCTAACTAGAAGCCTCCTAGATGGGTTCAGAGTAGATGGGGTCGGAGGATCGCGCCGCATCGGCGATACATCGGCGATGCACCAGCGACGTCGGCGATGCATCGGCGACGTCCGCGTGAAAGAAATCGGGCTCCGCATCGAGCCGCATCGGCGATGCACCGGCGATGCGGTGCGATCCTCCGACCCCATCTACTCCGACACCATCTAGGAGGCCTAGACTAACGAATATCAATGTGGCTTCTCCTCTGCGACTCCTGCCCTGGCCCCAGGGCGGTCGGGTCCAGTCGTTCTCGATGCCCTGCGAGCCCGCCGCGCCGTTGGGGTCCACGCCGGTCAGGCGCGCGCCGAAGCCCTCCGGCGTCCGCTGCACGAAGCCGAAGCCCGGGTTGGCCTGCGATGGGCGCCCACGTTCGGCGCTGGACAAACCTCCCTTTCGTAAACCACCCCGTAGAGAAAACGTCCAAGGACCGAAACCGATGGACCTGGACCCGCAAAAAAATGAGGGCCGTGACGCCCTCTCGCGAACCGAGAACGGCCAATTCGCTGATCGACGCGTCAGGGTAGGAGGCCGATCAACCTCAGCAGACATGTGGTGAGCAGGGAGGCAGAGCCTGGGTCTCCGCGCATTACAGGCCTTCCGGATGGGGTCCGAGCAGATGAGGTTGTTGGATGGTCGCGACGCATTGGCGCCATCGGCGTGGATAAAATCGGGCTCCACATCGAGTCACGTCGCCGATGCATCGGCGATGCGTCGCGACCCTCCGATCCCATCTACTCGGAAGCCATCTGGGAGGCTTAGGTTAGTGCTGCCTTGGAGGTCGCCAATGGCGGTCCTGGCCCACGGTGCAGCCAGCTTCGCGCGCCAGTTTGGACCCCCTGGGGCCCTCTGGGCCACGTGATGGGTGTTCTGAAATCTTCTGGGCCTCACTGGAAAAGCTGGAGGCGCTATGGAATAGTGTCACCTCTGGCAGAACCTGGTAGCTTAGGCTGGCCTCAACAGGCCCCCAAAGCAGCCTGAGGCGGTCTCAAAAATCCAGCCTGGGGCGCGGAGCTGCCTGTGCGCAACCCCAGTTCTGGCCATCGGATTCACGTGCGCAGCACGCGGTATGTCACGCAAGCACCAAGCGAACCCCGTCGCATGACCCGTGCTCGCACACCCCAGGTGGACAATTGGATCGGGGCAACTAGACAACTTGATGTCAAACTCGAGACGCACTGCCAGCAGGAGAACCGGACAGGCAGTGGGCGGCGTAGCTGCCTCCTGGGGAGACTTGAAGTTGGCAACGATCGTCCTGGCCGAGGACTTGTCGGGCATGTAGCAGATCTTGGCCTGGCACCCGGATAGTTCTCTCGGATTCGGGCGAGTCGTCCGCAATCCTCCTTCAAATCGCAATGTCACCTTCTCCTGATCATCCCTCGTGCCCGCGAACGGTCGAGACAAGCCTGATTGGTTCTGACTGCAACTAGTAGGCGACACTCGACCCGGGAGAACCGAACGAGAGACGACAAGCGCGGGAGCCCGAGAAACAAACGTAAGACACCCAACAGGGACACCCGTCTCCTCCGTCGTCCCTCCCCCCGTCCCCCCCCCCCCTTTCCCTCCCCGACGGCGATCCGAATCCGGCACCTCCATCTGCCTCGCAGAAGGTCGGCTACTGGCCTGCAGCACGCAGCGGAGCGCCCGAAGGCTCGCGCGTGAGTGGTAGCCGCACTGCGGTGCAGGGGCCCCGGGACACACAAACAAATGGACACACATAACAGGATTCCACATAGTTTCCCATATGTTCTGGGCTTTTGTCTTCCCCCCCACTTCCCGTATGTTTCCATATGTTCCGGAGAATGTATGATTCATGGTGTCTCTGAGTGTGTTTTCCCCCTCCTGACATGGGGAAGGGCCCAGACCACACCTTGCACGGACGCGGTGGGCGTTCCCGGGCGCTCCTTGCGCTCCTCGCGTGGGCCTCTGGGAAAGCAAGCCCGCCCGCGTCGGCTCCAACGTCCACCAAATGCACTGCAATCGGGAGCAGCCAAGAGGGGGGTGTCCAAGAGGGGGGGGTGCAAATCATGACCGGCGGCATGTGCGCGGCCCAGCGGGGGGGCCAGGGACGTACTGAAACAAGCAGAGGCGCCATGAAATCTGGGGAGATATCATGGCCCCCGCCATGATATCCACCCCCCCCTAGTCATCACCCCCCTCTTTTCCGCCCCCGATGCAAGGCACGCACCCCCAAAAAACTGGGAGCCCCGGGCTCGGCGGTGGACAAACCTCCCTTTGGTAAACCTCCCTGTAGTGAAAACGGCCTGGGGCCGAAACCGACACGGACCTGGAGCCACGAAAATGACGGCCGCGACAGCCTCTCGCGGACCGAAAACGGCCAAATTCACGAATCGACGTGTCAGGGTAGGAGGTCGATCCACCCCCGAGGGGTGGCCTCAAAGAACCGTCCTGCGGCTTCCCTTGGGGCCTCAAGGGTCGTCTGAGGAGCCCTGGGGGTTGGTCCAGCCCAAGCAGTGGAAACTATTGGGATGCTGAGGTGATGGTGTAGCGTTCGCCTGCGTCGTGTTTCGCCGTTCAGAGCCTCCAAGACGGCCCAGCAGGCCTCCAAGAGAGCCTCTCGGCAGCCAGAATAACTAGAGGACGGCCTCGGAGGGCTCCAGGGGAGGCTCAAGAGACAGCCAAGAGAAAGAGGTAATTGGGAGAGGGGCCTTGGCCAGTGGGGTCCCACGAGGCCTACCATAGGTCCTGGAGGACGCCACCCAAGAGACGCAAGGATACCTCCAGATGATAATCCGAGTGTCCAAAACCAAGGTGGTTCCCCAAGATGTTCGCAAGAGCCTCTCAAGGTCTCAAGATTCCTGCAAACATTGTAAGAGAGTGTCGCGCGAGACAGCGATGTTGGAATCATCTGTGAGGAAAATATCGGGCGGGAGCCTTTGTCGTTGTAACTCGGGTGCCACTTTGACCATTCAGAGTTCCCCTACAAGAACACAGGGTGCGAGCCCCGGGAGGGGCACTTCCATTGGACAAATACAATGTGCGCCGCGGGGGGGACCAACTATTACTGTTCCTGAATTCGCCGGCCCAACGGGCCAGAGGCGTGCTAAGATCTCCGGTAACTGGTTAACAATTGTATTGTACTAGTTCGCGCGCGCGGGGCGGCCCCTGGGGGTCCCCCGGCGAAAAGTACCCCGCCCGCCGCCTGGGAAGGTCCCGCCCGGTTCAACTCAGAGATGGTTTTCCTTCTGGGTGCGGCCTCTCAGGCCGCCCTGAGCGCGCCAAGAGTGCCCCAAGAGGCCCCCAAGATTGCTCAAGAGGCCCCCGAGACGTTCAAAGAGCGCTCCAAGGCGCCGAAGATGACCCCAAGACGGCCCAAGAGACCCCCAAGACAGCCGAAGAGGCCTTCAAGACGCCCCAAGAGCCTTCCAAGAGGCCTCCGAAGAGGGCCCCAAGAGGCCAAAATCGTTGATTTTCATTGGTTTTTCCTATGTTTTTTGCGTTCTGGCTTTTTCGGCTTCCGGACGCTCCAAGACGACCCAAGAGGCGCCCAAGATCGCTCCAAGACGGCCCACGAAGCTCCCAAGACGGCCCCGAAACGGCCCAAGAGGGCCCCCAAGACGGCCCAAGTGCCGCCCAAGACGGACCAAGAGGCCCCAAGACGGGCCCAAGAGGGGCTCAAGAGGGATACAGAGAACTGAAAAATCGAGCCCTCCGCCCCAGAAGCCGCCCAGGAGGTCCCAAAGAGGCCCCAAGAGACCCCCAAGAGGCCCCCAAGACGCCCCAAGAGGCGCCCAAGAGGCCCAAAAGAGGCCCCAAGAGGCCCCAAAACGGCCCTCAACAGGCCCCAAAACGAGCCCCCACAAACGCGCCAGGCACACCCCAGGGCAGCAAAACCTAGAACCCCGTGGAACCAACGATTCCCCCGCCACCCCCACAGACGGTCGCCACGAATCGACACGAACCTGTTCCACCGGGGCATCTTCACCACAAAAGGCCGAACGCAACGACTCAACAAAAAAAACAGCCCCCGCTCCCTGCAGCTCCGCACTGCCGACGACCTCTCATCCAGTCGACCGCGGTGCGCAATACGGGCCGGCGGAATGAGCGAAGCGATTAAATAATAAAAATTCAACAAACCGCGGAACCTCACTTCAGCCACGCGCTCAAGGACAATGAATGACATGTCGGCCCCTATATACAATCGGAAATCCACGCAAAATCCTTGGGTCAGCGCTGGCGAATCCTGGAAGTGCCCGTGGCGCAGCCTCTGAGCGCCAGCGGAGGAGGGACCAAGGCCCATCCAAGATAACCGCGCGGACCCCGGCGGTTTTGTTTGTTGTATGCAGTTTGTTGAAACTCAACCCCCATCTGCCACATGCTCCTGCAATCATCCGGCATGAAGCGACTCCCTGCGCCATCTCGTTGGAAGAGGACGAGCGGATTCAGACGCATCACCGATCACATCGTCCGAACGGTCCGCCGGCAAGCCAATCTTCCGCCCAACCCCCTCCCACTCCTCCCCACCTTCCAGAGGCTGGGGGAGGCCGCAACACAGCTCAACGGTGTGCTGTATACCAAGGGCTCCCAACTTCGCGCTTCGCGCTGCGCGAAGCGCGAACAACTTCGCGCTCTCGCGCCGCCTCCCAGGGGAGAAGAGGAGGATGAGGGGGAATCGGAGCCGAACCGCGAAGCGCAACGCGCGAATAACTTCGCGCCCTCGAGGGCGCCCTTGTATACAAAACCTCGCAGGCTGGACCCCCACCCACATCCGTGCCTCTGTCTCCGTCTCCGTCTCCGTCTCCGTCACCGTCGTCGTCGTCGTCGTCGTCGTCGTCGTCGTCGTCGTCGTCGTCGTCTCCGTCGTCGTCGAGCCCACCTGGAGGCCTCCTAGATGGGGTCCGAGCAGATGGGGTCGGAGGATCGGGCAGCATCGCCAATGCATCGACGATGCATCGGCGATGCATCGGCGACGTCGGCGGTGCATCGGCGCCGTCGGCATGGCGAAGATCGGGCTCCGCATCGAGCCGCATCGCCGATGCATCGGCGGTGCGGCGCGGTCCTCCGACCCCATCTGCTCGGACCCCATCTGGGAGGCCTGGAGAAACAGGCATCAGGGTGCCCGGCCAACATTTCGCTCGACGTCCACGGTCCATGGCCGAATCAGAGTGGCCAAAAAGAGGGCAGCGTATGTCGGGCGTGTCCCCCTACAGGGGGATTTTCGACGAAAAATAAGAAATACCCCAGAAAACACCAAAAAGGTTGAAAATGCTAAAAAAATAATCGCCAGGCTATGTTTGGACTATTTGTTTATTTATTTTTAGCGTCTTTTTGATTTTTCGTCGAACGAAAACCCTGTAGGGGGACAGGCCCGACATAAGGGCAGCGTGACTGTGACCCCTCTCCTCCACGGACGGAGCCCTGTGCCGAGCGGCCGCCAGTTAGCACTCCTGTGCGACTCGGCGAGGGGTTCGGACTTCTTGCCCGGCGTGGCCAGCCGGGGAGCCTGAGGCGTAGCAGCCGTATCGTTAAGTCGGGCGTGTCCCCCTACAGGAAGATTTTCGACGACAAATAAAACAAATCCTTCAAAATACACATAAAAATACCCCAAAAATGCTAAAAAAAAATCCCCAGACTATTGTTGGATGATTTTTGGGTATTTTGGGGGCATGTTGTATTTGTCGTCGAAAATCCCCCTGTAGGGGGACAGGCCCGACTTAACCGTACCGCTGGCAAGGGTGCCTGGCCAAGAATTGGAGCAGCAAAGTTACTTCTTTGAAGGCAGTGCCAAAGATATGGGCATCACAATACATGGATCCCGTCCTGTCCTATCCTAGGAGGGGGGGGAGGGACAAGATGAGTAACTAAGAGAGAACGATGGGGGCGGGAGGAGAATGAGGAGGAGGAGGAGGAGGAGGGGGAGGGGGAGGAGGACGCCACCTTCGCCATCTCCGGCGGCATGATTTCAAGGGTGCCGACGACCGTCTCGAAAACGTCGGAGCCCATGTCCTCGCCGGCAGAAAGGTCGGCAGCATGCAGCCTTCACACTCTCGCAGCATGACTGCTGCTCTCCCCTCTCCCCCGGAGAGGTGTGGAGCGTGGCCCGCGCTCTCCGTGCACTGTCCTGTTGCCACTGGTGTTCACCGATGCTGATATCGCCCATGTGCTTTTCCGGTCCGAGCCGTCGGCTCTCCCATAATTGATAGCTCGGGATGGACAGACCCCCCTTTCGCAAAACGACCTGAGGCCCAAACCTGGCGGGCGCAGGCCTGGAAAATAACGGCCACGGCGCCCTCTCGAGAACCGAAAACGGACAAATCACGAATCGACGTGTCACTGTTGGGGTTTCTGTTCGCCCCCGAATAATTGATAGCAATCTCGCTGAAGCGTGAACCTCATTTTGGGGTCGCGGCTCTGCTCCTGGCGTTGAAAAGAGGTGCTCTCGCCCAGGCGCGGGCCACTTCGCTGGACCCGAGCAGGTCCTTATCGTCATCGTCCTCATTCTTTACCCTCCTCCGCTTTCCCCTGGTCCTCCTGCTCCTCCCGCTCCTTCCACTCCAATTTCCGCTGCTGCTGGTCGTCGTCCTACTCTTTCATCCTTCTCCTTTTCCTCCTGCTCGTCCGCCTCCTCGTCTTCCTCCTCCTCCTCCTCCGCCTCCTCCTCCTCCTATGAACGCAGCTCCCTATTACCGATTGCGCATGAAACGATAGTCTTTTGGGAAGTTCCAGGTCCGCTATGATACGCGTCCGCGGATAGTGAAGAGATGGCCGCGATGGGAAGGCATGGGGTGAAAGGGTAGCATGTCAGACATGGCGCGAGCACACCTTGCTTGACCTCACCCCTCTCCCCCTTCCCTCCTCTGAGCCTCCGCCATTCCTCCTCCTGCTCCTCATCCTCCTTCCCTTCCTTCCTCCCCCCTCGTATGCCTCCTACTCTTCCAGCTTTTCCCCCTCGATCCTCGCCCACCGTCCACCCCCTGCTCTCCGATCCAACAGCAGCTGTGCAGGGACCTCCAAAGAGATACCGGCGCCGATACGCGGCCGGGGCACACGGGATACCGCTGGTGCGTCGGCGGCGTCCGTGAAACAATGAATAAGGAAACGACAATCTGTGGGACGTGTGCCTCGTGGGGCCCTCTCTGGGCCCCTCCCATGGTTTGAAAAGAACAAGCGGGCCCCGAGGGAGACGGGCTCTGGAACCTGGACGTGGTCTTGCCCCGGGACCAGCTCGAGGAGGAGTAGGATGAGGAGGAGGATGAGGGGAAGGAGGAGTAGGAGTAGTAGGAGAAGGAGGGGGAGGAGGAGGACGCCTCGGCGATGCGGCGCGACACCCTGCTGCAGCACCACTCGGGCGGCATGGATGCTCTCCCTCCCCCATTCGCTCCGCCGTCTGTCACGTGCGGGCGGCCTGTCGTGCCTCCGAGCTCTTCCTCCCACCATCCCACCACTCGTATGCCAATCCCCGCCCTTCTCTTCTCCCTCTTCCACGTCACCCTTTCCAGATTCATCCTCCTCTGCCTCCTCCTCCTCGTCCTCCTCCATCCTCCCTCCTCTTCCTTCATCCTTCTTTCTAACTCATCCTCCCCTGCCCCTCCCCCGTTGCCACCTATGCGCAGACACTTGGGCCTCATTATCCCTCTCCTCGTCCTCATCATCCTCGTCGCGGCGAGGAGCTCCACGAAGACACCATGCGCCCGCCCCGGGAGGCATCCCCTGATCGAGGGCGCGACGCTGGATCCTGGATGGCCTGGTGGGGACATGGGCGGCGCGCGGAAGGGGGTGTAAGGCGAAGCCAGGACGAGGGTAGCATCGGGTAGGGATACAGTGGAGGCAAATCCAAACCTTCCGCAAGAAACCAAACCCTGAGACCCCAGGACGTCCACTTTGTTGGCGCGGGAACCTCACGCTCTTTCCATCGAAAAACATCGTAACCCGCAATACCCAGGGGGCCCTGGATGCAAGCAAGGTGTTTCGTGGCATGAGTTTCCACTGTAAATCGAGAATCTCTGAGATCCGTCGGTTCTGGAAGATGTCTCGGGCGCCGCGGCCTTCTCAGAGCGTCCCAGAACGCTCTGAGAACGCTCCGGAACGCTCTGGAAAAAAATTATCCTCGTCCTAGCCCTGTCGTAAAGGGCGTGGGACGGGGAGGGGCGACCTTCTGAGAGGGCTGGAGGTCTTCTTCGCAGGGACTGGACGCTCCTGAGAACCTCTGGGGCGGCATGACCTCAGAGAAGACCGCAGGCTCTCTGAGGCCCGCCCCCCCCCACCCTGGCGCCACCTCCCTCTGCGCGCCGCCACCGGGTGAGACTTCTCGACCGGCCACGGCCGTCCTGCCCTCCCGGCCCCCTTGGCCACACCACCTCTCGCGTCGGCGCCGCGTGAGAAATGGGCTGCCCTCGGCATTCCCAGACGGCACCGGCGCGAGCTGTGACGTGACAGGCCCCCGCCCCCTCCTCCCCCCCCGCGGCCACGCCAGCTTATCGCCAGGGGATGCACAAGGCGGTCTCCTGAGAGGGCCAGCCCCCCTCGCGGCAACCCAGAGGGGCAACGACAAGGGGGAGGAATAGGATAAACATGACAACGGGAATGATGGAGAAGGAGGAGGAGGAGAAGCAGGAGGAGGACGAGAGAAGGAGGAGGAGGAGGAGAATGATGATGATGATGATGATGATGATGATGATGATGATGATGAGATGATGATGAGGAGGGAGGAGAGAGGAGGAGGAGGAGGAGGAGAGGAGGAGGAGGAGGAGGAGAATGAGGAGGAGGAGGAGGAGAGGAGGAGGAGAATGAGGGAGGAGGAGAGAGGAGGAGGAGGAGGAGGAGGAGGAGGAGGAGGAGGAGCAGAAGGGGGGGGGGACTGGCTCGGGGGGGGGGGGAGCGTCGGCCTGACATCGGCGACACGCGCCGCCGACGGATGGGCGACAGGCCCTCGCTGGCACAATTAGTCGCACGGTCCCTAGGCGGGGTGGGGCTGTGAAGGCCCCTCCTCGGCGAGCCGTGGGCGATTGGGGGGATCGACGCGTTCCCCCCCCCCCCCCAAGCCTGACCAGGGCTCGCACGGAGACCAATGAAGGGGCCCCAGGACCTACAAATAAATACACACAAATAAAAAGATTCCCCATGTTTTCCCATGTTTTCCAGGTGTCTGTCTTCCCCCCCACTTCCCATATTTTCCCATATTTTCTTGGGAACCGACGATTCATTGTGTCTGTGTGTTTTTCCCTCTCCTGAACCAAGGCGGACCCACATGGGGCCAGGGGGGGGGCAGGAGGGGGGGCAGGGGGCTGAGTGAACCAAGGGGGGCCAAGGGGGCCGGGGGGGGCAGGGAGACCAAGCGAGACCACGGGAGGCCACGAGGGAGAAAACATGCACCGAGGGGGGCCAGAGGGACCCCCCCCTCTCGGCTGCACGCAAGAATGACCCAGGGCCAGAGTGACCTCTGTTGCGCGCCTTTCTGAGGCCGTGGGGGGTCAGGCTGGCGGAAGCCCTGTGGGCCCGCACTGAAGGTCGCTCCTGCGAAGGACAGCCGACCCCCGCCGTGACCCACCGACCGTTGTGGGACTTCTCCAGACGGCGGGGGGCGGAGGGCCGCGTGCCAGTGGACAAGAATCGACGGGGCGCGCTGGCGCGAGGCCAGGAGGAGGCAGCACGCAGGAGGAGGCAGAGAGGCAGGCGACTGGGGACCAAAGCGGACCTCCAGCGCAGCCTGTTGCTCCTCCTCATGCTCCTGCTCCTGCTCCTGCTCCTCCTCCTCCTCCTCCTCCTCCTCCTCCTGCTCCTCCTGCTCTCCCCCGCCTCCTCCACCTCCTTCTCCTCCTCCTCTTCCTCCTGCTCCTCCTGCTCCTCCTCGCCCTCCTTCTCCTGCTTCTCCTGCTCCTCCTGCTCCTCCTGCAACTCCTGCTCCTGGCTCCTGGTCCTCCTCCTCCTCCTCCTGGGGTCCTCCTCCCCCTCCTCCTCCTTATCCTCCTCCTCCTCCTCCTCAGAACCAGCATCATCATCATCATCATCATCATCATCATCATCATCATCATCATCATCATCATCATCATCATCATCATCACCATCATCATCATCATCACCATCACCACCACCACCACCACCACCACCATCATCATCATCATCATCATCATCATCATCATCACCATCACCACCACCACCACCACCACCACCACCATCATCATCATCATCATCATCGTCATCATCATTATCATCATCATCATCATCATCATCATCATCATCATCATCATCATCATCATCATCATCATCATCATCATCATCATCATCATCATCAACATCATCATATCAGCATCATCATCAGCAGCATCATCATCATCATCCTCATCCTCACCATCATCAGCATCAGCATCATCATCACCATCATCATCATCATCATCATCAGCACCATGATCATCAGCAGCAGCATCATCATCCTGCTTCTCCCCCTCATCCTCCTCGCCCTCCTCGCCCTCCTCGCCCCCTCGCCCTCCTCCTCCTCCTCCTCCTCCTCCTCCTCCTCCTCCTCCTCCTCCCCCTGGCGGGAGGCGCAGAGGCGCTCGTGCCACGCGCCAGCGACGACGAACGGTGGCTGCGCGCGGAGCCAGACCTCTGCCGAGCGCGCCTGCTGCCTGCGAAGGGCCGTGGACCACGCGGCGGCGGGGGGAGGGCGGCGCCCCTCGCGTCGTCGTCGTCGTCGTCGTCATCGATCGCTCGGTCGGCCAGTCGGTCGGTCAGTCGGTCGGTCGTCGTCGATCGCTCGGTTGGTCGGTCAGTCGTCGTCGTCGTTCGTCGTCGTCGCCGTCGTCGGTCTCTCGGCCTTCGGGGGCCAACTACCTGTTCCGGTTCGATGTGTCCTCCCCCCGTCCTGGGCCATCCCCCCCGTTTCGGGCCATGGCTTGGCCCTCCAGCGGCCGTTCCAGGCACCCTCAGAACGCTCTCGGCGAGGCGCAACTGCTGGAACGCTCAGGGAGCACTAAACCGGGTAACGCCTAAACGGGGTAACAGACCCACCATGGGATCCAGGTGGAAAAACTGCAACGACCAGAACAAAACATGCACTGCACTTTTCTGCAACACAAAAAACTGCACTGCAATTTGTTGGAAACTAGTTGCGGAAAAACTGCAAGTAAGCCCCACAGACCGGGTAACAGAGGGCCCAAAACAAAAAGTTGCAATTGCAGCAACTGGAAAGGTGCAACGCAGCCAGCATGTGAAAGGCGCTGCATCGAACGCGAGAGCACAAAAGCATCACCTGCAACAAAAGGGCCATCTGATGCCTCGAACCGGCCGTTTCCTGCTGCCCCGTTGGCTGTTACCCCGTCTCTGGCTCCCTGAAATCGGGAGCGGCCAAGAGGGGGGTGTCCAAGAAGGGGGGGTGCAAATCATGACCGGCGGCATGTGCGCGGCCCAGCGGGGGGGCCTGGGACGTAATAAAATACGAAGAGGCGCCATGAAATCTGGGGAAATATCATGGCCCGCGCCATGAAATCCACCCCCCCCTAGTCATCACCCCCCTCTTTTCCGCTCCCGATGAAGCGCATCCCGAGGGTGGAAACCGGCCGGGAACGGACGGAAAGGCCAGCCAACCTTGAACCTCTCCCCCCATGAGCCTCTGCCCCTGGGGCCGTCGGCCTGCCTGGCCGGGGACCCCAGGAGGAGGGGGAGGAGGAGGAGGAGGAGGAGGAGGAGGAGGAGGAGGAGGAGGAGGAGGAGGAGGAGGAGGAGGAGGAGGGCGGCGCCCTGGTCCTTCGCCACGCCGAAGTCGATCAGCTTCACCTCGCTGGTCTCGGAGACCTTGTCGCCCGTGACCTGCCCGCGGGCCACGGGGGCGACGGGAGGAGGAGCAGGCAGACGAGGGAGGTGGCCGAAGTTGGCTCAAAGCTGGCCCAAGACGGCCCAAGAGGCCCCCAAGAGGGCCTACAGGAAGGCCACAAACCCAAAACATGGATTGTCCTGCGGCTTTTGACGGATTTTGACATTTGCTTCTTTTTGGCCTTCCGCTTGCCCGAGACGGCCCAAGAGCCCCCGAAGATCGCCGAAAGCTCGCCCAAGAGGCCTTCCAAATGGCCCCAGAACGGTGGGCGGAGTCGGAGGAAGGGGAGAGGACGGAAGGGCGCCGAGGAGGGCCACAAGACGAAGCCAGGACCGGGACAAGGCTGGGCCGAGGGAAGTCGGGCATCTCTGAGATCCGGCGGTTCGGTATGAGGTATTGGACGCCGCGGCCGTTCCAGAGCGCCACGGAACGCTCTGAGAGCGCTCCAGAACGATCTGAGAACATGTCTGCAAGCTCTGGAACGAGGCGTCCCGGCCCTGGGCCCCCGCCCGAAGAGAAGAGGGGACGGAGAAGAGGGGGGGGGAACCTGAAGAGAAAGAAGCAGTAAAGACCAGTGGCGATGCCAGTCGTGATCAACATTACCCGCCGCGGCAACGCTGGGCCGCCTCGGCTCGGCTGGGGACTTTGGGGGTTTTGAGCCCGCCCGAGCTCGTGGGGGTCAAAACGTGGGGGTGCACGGCCTCCCACATGCGCGGAGCTGCCTGTCTGCGGCGATTGGCCCACACTGGCCGCAAGCCTGATGCCAAAATGAAGGTGCAAATTCAATCACGGGAAGGATGACACAAGCCACGCGCTACGTGGATCTGGTACCACAGGAGCCAGAGGACCTCTTGACCAAGCGCAGGGAGAAGGATGACAGAGAGGAAGCGGACGACCTCACACTAGGACGGTGGTCTGACTCCGTAGAGGCAGCAGGTCCAAGAGGAAGAGGGAGGATGGACAAAGAGATCACATACACAGTAAAAAGATAACGGGGGTGTTGGCTTCAGCACCACACGCGGCCAGTTCTGGAGATGTATCGAGCGAGGTGATCGGTTTTGAACCCACGACTCCTGTCCATTAGGGCCCCATGATTCCTTCGATGTAGGGAGAAGGACGGCCGCCAGGACGGAGGACGGATAATGGAGGAAGAATGCAGGGGGACGGGAAAAGGGACGGAAGGAAGGGAAGAGGCAAACCAATGAAGAAAAGGACTCCGCCGACCGCTTGTGTCTCTGGTCGTGTAGGAGATTTCCCCCTCGAATAATCCCCCCCCAATTGGCCCCGGGTGACCCCGGCACGAACGTTCCATGGGGACACAGAGGCCGCGCCAAGAGGCCTCCAACAGTGTCCACGAAGCCACGAAGCCAGGACTCGCCGAAATATCGTTCGAAGACGCCAGTGACCTCCAGACGGCCCACTATGCCTCCAAGCAGCCTCCCACAGGCACCCAAAAAGGGCGTCAACGAACCAAAATCGCCGAACCCCGTTGGGAGAACGTGCGTTTTTAGCATGTTCGCCTATCTGGTTTCACGACGCCCAAGATGACCCGAACAATTTCCAACATGGCTCTACGACGGCTCAGAAAAGGCAACAAGACGGCACCAAGCTGGCCCCAAGAGAAGGCCCAGAGGGGGAACCCGAACGGACATGTCGAGCCTTCCTCCCAGAACTACCTTCAACACGCCCCCGGGAGGCTTCCCACGAGACACCATCAGCCATCCGACTGACGTCTGACTTCTGATGGTTTCACGCCCGAATGTGTGTGTGTGTGTGTGAGCGCGGGTGTGTGAGTGTGTGTGTGTGTGCGTTTGTGTGTGTTTATGTGTGTGCGCGCGTGTGTGTGTATGTTGTTGTTGTTGTTGGTATTGTTGGTATTGTTGTTGTTGTTGTTGTTGTTGTTGTTGTTGTTGTTGTTGTTGTGGTTGTTGTTGTTGTTGTTGTTGGTGTGTGTGTGTGTGCGTGCGTGCGTGCGCGTGCGTGCGTGCGTGCGTGCGTGCGTGCGTGCGTGCGTGCGTGCGTGCGTGCGTGCGTGCGTGTGCGTGCGCGTGCGCGTGAGCGTGTGCGTGCGCGTGTGCGTGTGCGGCTGCGTGTGCGTGTGTGTGTGTGTGTGTGCGCGCGCGTGTGCGTGTGCGTGTGCGTGTGCGTGTGCGTGTGCATGGGCGTGTGCACGTGCGCTTGCGCGTGTGCGTGTGCGTGTGCGTGTGCGTGTGCGTGTGCGTGTGCGTGTGGGTGCGGGTGTGTGCGTGCGTGCGTGCGTGTGTGCGTGTGCGTGTGCGTGCGCGCGCGTGCGCGAGTGCGCGCGTGTGCGCGTGCGTGCGCGCGCGTGTGCGCGTGTGCGCGTGTGCGCGTGTGCGCGTGCGCGCGCGCGCATGAGCGTTCGCAAAGTGATGTGCGTGTGCGAGTGCGTGTGCGGGCGCGTGTGCGTTTGCGTGTGTGCGCGTGTGCGCGTGTGCGCGTGTGCGCGTGTGCGCGTGTGCGCGTGTGCGCGTGCGCGTGTGCGCGTGCGCGTGCGGGTGTGCGTGTGCGTGTGCGTGTGCGTGTACGTCTGCGCGTGCGCGTGCGTGTGCGTGTGCGTAGGCGTGCGCGTGTGCGTGTGCGTGTGCGTTTGCGTGTGCGTGTGCGAGTGCGTGTGCGTGTGCGTCTGCGTGTGCGTGTGCGTATGGGTGTACGTGTGCGCGTGCGTGTTCGTGTGCGTGTGCATGTGCGTGTGCGTGTGCGTGTGCGTGCGCGTGTGCGTGTGCGCGTGTGTACGCGAGTTGTCGCCTGTTCCCTCATGCGTATACGGAACACACTGACACTGTCGGCCGCGGAGAATACACTTGATTATACACCAAAAAGCATCCCTCAGGACTCTGACGCCCCATGAACCAAACAATGACGTTTTCCCTTCACCTCTTTTCCACCTCCTCCTCCTCATCATCTGCCTCATACTCCTCCTCCCTCTCTCCCTCCGCCCCCTCCTCCTTATCCGATTCCTTCTTTTCCGCTTTCTCCTTTCCATCGGCTTCGTCCTCCCGCTCTGTCTCTCCCTTCCTGATCCAACTTGCACGGAGCTCGGTACTATTAGCCCCTTTGCTGATTCGGTTACACACCATGCCGCCCGAATACGCATCATTTGCACGCTGCACTCCAGAATGTTTGTTTTTCCCTCGCGCGCGACATGGGCACAGAGAGCGCCGAATTCGGCAGTTTCTTCTTGCATGCTCCGCTGCGTTGATACGCCTGCCAACTGCGCGCTCTGAGCCCGAGGTCCCTGCAACCGCCGCACATCACGCGCGCCTGCTTCGTCTTTGTGAGCCTTGTTTTTCGGCGTTTCGATACTGGGCGGAAAAAGGGGGGGAGGGGGAGGGGTCTGGCTCCGGATCTCTGCTTGGTGCGACTGCTTGCAGCAGTGCGCCCCGTGGGGGACTCCACCTGCTCGAAACAGGCGCCAAAAAACAGCCAAGATCTACTCCAGGAGGGGGGAGTTGGGGGGCGGAAAGATACGGATACGTGTTGTCCCCGGACCTCTCGTGGGGTGCGCTCTGACCAGAATTTCGAGGCGGATCCAGCGGTGACAACGAGGCTTCCCCAGGAGGACCAGGAAAGGCCGAACACGAAGGGGGACAACACGTATCCGTATCTTTTTCTCCCCAGAGGGAGGGGGGTGGTGCGAGGGCCCGCGCCGATCCGCAGAGCAATGCATAAAAAGAGCCCCCTCCGGGAGCGCCGTGGCCTCGGAGCCTCGAGCCCCCTCCGGGAGCGCCCGCCGCCGATGCCGCTCCCTCGGGGCCCGCCTCCGGAAAGAGGAGGAGGAGGAGGAGGAGGAGGAGGAGGAGGAGGAGGAGGAGGAGGGGGAGGAGGAGGAGGAGGAGGAGGGAATAAAAAAACGATCACCTCGGTTACCCTCCCAGCGTTTCAAGGCGCCTGGCCTCCCCGGGCCCTGCCGCGCCCCACTCAGCCCGAGCGGGCGCCGCCCGGCAAGCAAGCATTCCCCCACCACCACCTCCTCCTCGTGCTTCGCCTCCTCGGTTTCGCCTCCTCCTCCCCCACCACCACCACCTCCTCCTCGTGTTTCGCCTCCTCCTCGTGTTTCGCCTCCTCCCCCACCACCACCACCTCCTCCTCGTGCTTCGCCTCCTCTCGCTCCCGCTTCCCGTCGTCCTCGCTCGAGGTCCTGCTGCTGACATTCCTCCCGTCCCGGAGAGCGCAGATGCCGCATCGGAACTAATCCCGTAAAGACAGACGGAGCACCGCCTCAACTGGCGCTGGTCCCGAACCGATCGCGGGCCGTCAGCCCACGCACGCACGTGGCCCACGACCAGAATAAGCATTACCTGGCATTGGCAAGCAATCGCCCGCCGGGGTGGAGCCTTCCCCGCTCCGCTCCCCCTCCGAAGTCCCCTGCACGATACCTGCCACTACGTTATGTCGGGCGTGTCCCCCTACAGGGGGATTTTCGACGATAAATGAAAAATACACCAAAAATACTCCAAAAATAGTCCAAACATAGTCTGGGGACTACTTTTTGAATATTTGTTGACCTTTTTGGGTTATTTTTGGGGTATTTTTAATTTTTCGTCAAAAATCCCCCTGTAGGGGGACAGACACGACTTAACACTAGGTCCAGAATTTCCAGTTCTTTCGACCTCGAAGCCCAGAGCCCCTGCCCCGACCAGGATGTTCTGCAGCTTGAGGTCCCTGTGCAGCACGCCCTGGCTGTGCATGTGCGCCAGGCCGTTCAGCACCTCCACGAAGATGTGCTGCGCCACCTTCAAAAGACCGCTCGCCATCGATCGGACGCCCATTCCCTGTGTTGTTTTTCGGTTTCGTGCGTGGTTTTTTCGCCAAATGGTCAAGGATGCTCCTCGCTGGTCCTCGCCGCAGGAAAAATGCACACGTCCGAACGATGCCAGGTTCAAAGACGTCAGGCGCGCACAAAGAGCCGTGCATAGAACTCGCCACAGAAGTGGCAAACGTGCGATTCATGTGAGAACCACAGGTGGTCAGGCCCAAAGGCACGTGCAATGAATCGAACAAACCTCATGCCTTGCCCTTCGCGCAGCGCAGCCAATGCCATGGCAGATGTGCAATCATGGAACACATAATCGCACACACGGACACACACGGACACACACACACACACACACACACAAACATAGACACACACACACACATACGCACGCACATCAGACACATCGTACAGACTCCTGGTCGTCGTGAGCCGTGCCCGTGGAAGCGCGCGCGTCGGGCGTCCACGAAAGATCGCGTGTGGAGTCCTCTCAAATTCAACGGGGGGGGTGCTCGCAGAGCCCCTCTTCTCCGCCCCCCCCCCCCCATCCTGCAACGGGGTCTGTTTTCGGACCCGCCCCCCGCCAACCCCTCTTCAGGACGGCAGGGGTGTTCGGACCCCCCCTCTGCGCCGGAGAAGGTGGGGTGGCGGTGTGGACCCACACCCTCGTGGCACTGGGCTGTGATCTCCCGGTCTCTCATGCCCCTGGACAGCGAGCAAGTGGGGGCGTTGGCATGTTTGGGTTACGGTCTTGGGCCAGAACGGCTACGTGGTGCAAGGTGTTCGCGCTTTGGTATTAGGGCCAAGGTGTTGGGGCCAGGGCGACAGGGCCAGGGTGCCAGGGTGCGGGTGTTAAGGCGGTGGGGTGCCAGGGCGGGGGTCAGTGTGCCCAGGGTTCGCGTGTGAGGAGGAGTGGGTGGTCGGGTCATGATTCACGATGAGGGCGTCAGAGCTAGAATTTCTGGGTTAGGGTGTTGGGCTTAATAACAGCGTTGGGAACAGTACGTATTAGGCTACCCGGGTGAGCGCGTTATGGCGGTAAGGTTCGTGTTGGGGCATTCGGGCGTTAGGGCTAGGGTGGCAATGTTCGGAGATCAGGGTTTGGGTTAGGGTGTTCGTGCTGGGGATTTCCGGCTAGGGTGTTGAGGTCAGGGTGTTAGTGTCACAGGACCTTGTGCAGATCAATCCCCCCCGCCCTGAGCCCTTACCAAAAGATCGGCCCATCCTCTTATCGCGCCGACGCGAACTTGCATCCTCTGTACCGTCGGAGCCCAGTTGGGCCGTCTCGTGGCGATCTTGAGGCGCGCCTGGGACCTGCTTCTAACACTAGGCGCGCCTGGGACCTGCTTCTAACACTTCCCAGAAAGATCGACCTCATCAACAGTCTGAACGCGTCCAGGCGATCTGCTTCATCCGATCGGATTCGTCTTAGCGATCCCTCGAGACGAGGCCCGTGAAACGGTGAAGGTGCGGCTGTGGTTGCGGCTGCTGCTGGTGGCGACGGCGAGCCGGGGAGCGCACGGGGAGCGATTGGAGCGCCTGGGAGCGCCCTCGGCGCCAGAGCAGGCGCGCAGACGGCCTCGCCTAGCCCTGGGGGGCCAGGGACGGCCCAAGCAAAACAAAAAACTCGGAGGCGCGCTGTGAAGATCCACCGATGTCCGTCACATGTTTTTTTTCCTGCAGGGGATCGTGAGGGCTGGATGGCTGCAGAGGTCAGCAGATGTGCACATCATAATTTGATGTTCCGTATGGGATGGTGACTGTCGGGTGTGTGTGAAGGTCAGCCGATGTCCACGGAATCATATGCATTGCAAGGCAACGTGACGGTTGGGCGGATGTGACGATCAGCAGATGAGCACGGAGTGGCAGCTCTTGCAGGGGATGGTGAGTGTTCGGCCGACGTGAAGATTAACCGATGTCCATCAAATGGAAGTGATAAGATCGGAACATGTAAACAAACTTGAACTTTTAGTGTAGGATGGAAACCATGATGAGACGATCTGAGGGTCAACCGATGCGCACCGCGTGTTGTTCTTTCGTTTTTGCAGGTCACAAGAAGCGTCGCGGCAAGATGCCAATGTGGCTTCGGTCCAGGCCCGGCTTTTGCAGTGAGTCAGGGCTATTTATAGATGGGGTCGAAGGATCTCGCCGCATCGCCGATACATCGGCGATGCATCGCCGATGCATCGGCCATGCACTGGCGACTTCGGCGGTACATCCGCGACGTCGGCGTGGAGAAAATTGGGCCCCACGTCGACCCGCATCGCCGACGCATCGCCAATGCATCGGCGATACGGCGCGATCCTCCGACCCGATCTACTCCGACCCCATCTAGGAGGCCTAGAAGAAGAGCATAGAACTATTGAAGGGGCCCTGGGACACACAAACAAATACACACAAATAAAAGGGTTCCCCATATCTCCCCATCTTTTCTGGGTTTCTGTCTTCCCCCCCACTTCCAATAGTTTCCTATGTTTTCTGGAGAATCGACGATTCATTGTCTGTGCGCTTTTTTCCCCTCCTGAGCTGTAGACCCTGCGAAATGCTTAAGAAATCATGGGTGAAGAAACTCAGAGTCTCAGAATCTGATCACAAACCCAGAATTTCTACTGAAATCTTAGGAGTTACATGGAAACATTTAGAAGAATCGAGACTCTGGCCGAAAACTCAGATTCTGGCCGAAAACTTCACTTCCCATATTTTCCTATGTTTTCTGGAGAATCGACGATTCATTGTGTCTGTGCGTTTTTCCCCTCCTGAGCTGTAGACTTCTGGGGCGCTTCGGGTACACCCTGCGAAATGCTTAAGAAATCAGGGGTTAAGAAATTCATAGTCTCAGAACTTGGATAAAAAACCCAAAAATTCTATCGAAATCTTAGGATTTACGTTGGAACATTCAGAATACTCGAGACTCTCGCCGAAAACTTCAATTTTCTTAAGCATCGCCTAGGGTGTAGTTTCCCATATTTTCTGGAGAATCGACGATTCATTGTGTCTGTGGGTTTTGTTCCCCTCCTGAGCTGTAGACTTCTGGGGCGCTTTTCGGGTAGGGTCGATGGCCAAGGCCAAAGGTTGGGGGCTTCCGGGCCTCCGGTGGGCGGAGCGGGAGGCCCAAAAAAGCACGGCAGCTCCGCGCCGCGTCGACCGCGGGCGCTGGTGAACGGACGCCGCGGGGATCGTTCAGACTCGAACGATCGGCCCTCTCAGAGAGGCCAGATCGTTCCAGGATGGGCCGATTCTCGGGTCGGGCAAAAGGGGGGGATAGCAAAGGGGGGGGGTGAGAATCAGCTCACGGAGCTGATTTTCCCGGCGCCTCCCGGCGCCGGAGGCGGCCATGTATCGAGGAACGGGCCCCTCGGTGGGGCCGAGACCAGCTGCATGCAGCAAATCTCGTAACCCCCCCTTTCCCAAACTCCCCCTTTCGCCCAGCCCGATCAGAGAGGCCAGATCGCTCCAGGATGGGCCGATTCTGGGCCACGGGCAGCGCTCAACCTCACACGCCCGCGCTGGGGTCGCCGCCGGTCGACACGACGCGAGACTGACACCGCGGAGATCGTTCAGACTTGAACGATCGGCCCGATCAGAGAGGCCAGATCGCTCCATCATGGGCCGATTCTGGGCCACGGGCAGCGCTCAACCTCACACGCCCGCGCTGGGGTCGCCGCCTTGTCGACGCGAGGCGAGCCTGCCGCGGGTCTTCCAAAAAGGCTAATAGGACCGTTGTGGCCGGGCGGGGGGGGGGTCCGATTGCCCAGTCCCAAAGGGGGGGGGGGGGCGGGCGGGTGGTTCAAACCGCGGAAAGGGGGGTTAGGGGTGCGTGCGGGAGGACGGATCGGGAAAGGGAGGGAGAGGGGAAAAGGGGGGTCCGGGACGACGGGCCAGGAGACGAGGGGAGAAGGAGGGACGAGGGGAGAAGGAGGCAGAGGGGAGAAGGGGGGACCCCCCCCCCTCAGGGGGGGGGTCCCGACCCCCCCGCCCGTGGGGCCATGCAGCGGCGCGCATGCCTCCAAGAAACATCGACGAGAAGGACAGGGAGGGCCCACGGAAAAAAATATGAAGCCTCGCCTTCGCCATCGCTAGGACAGCTGGGGGGGGGAATGGCCTCTGCGGCTTGTTTTCCAAAGTCAGATGGAGCGCGACCGCAGATTTTCACATGGCTCGGCCTCGAACGCTGTGCGAATCGAAAGGTCGCTTGGCAAACTGAGAACACCACACGAGCCGAGCTGCGATAGACAAACTGATGCACTGAACAGAGGCCCGAAAAGAACGAGCGTGGAGAACGCGGGAGTAGAGGAAGAAGCGATGGCAAGAGAGTGACAATCGACCCACAAATCAGCTTGAAAAACGCGGGAAACGAACCAGGACATAGACCAAGCTCGTTCTACGAGGGGACACCATAACGCGCGCATCGATCACAAGCCAGGAAAGCCCAGAATCGAATCGATAAATCGGATTGGCGATCGAATGAGTCGGATCGGCGGAAATCGGCAGCAAAGTCGGGAGAAGTCGAATCGGCTGACATTGGCTGGCTTGTATGCCTCCGATTAGAAATCGGAGCCCAAATCGAATTCCCAAGTCGAATCGAATCGGAATCGGAAGCCATCGAAATCGAATCGAATCGAATCGGAGGAGTCGACATGAGCCCTGACAAGCTGTGCGGGGCCCCCCGTTTCATGGCCCCTGCGTGCTGCTGCGCACGCGGGGACGGGGATGAGGAGGAGAGGGGAAGGAGAGGAACGGGTGGAGGAGGGGGAGGAGGAGGAGGAGGGAGGAGGAGGAGGGAGGAGGAGGAGGAGGAGGAGGAGGAGGAGGAGGAGGAGGAGGAGGAGGAGGGAGGAGGAGGAGGAGGAGGAGGAGGAGGAGGAGGAGGAGGGAGGAGGAGGAGGGAGGAGGAGGAGGAGAGGAGGAGGAGGTGGAGCCCCAACGTGTCGACGAGGAGGCCCCCCCTAGGACCGAAAGGGCGCAACAGCACAAACCGCGACCTTCGGCTCCTTCCTCCTCGCCTTGCTCAACGACGACGACGGCCAGACCAAGTCAGAGGCCATGCCATGACTGCGCATCGGCAGCAACACGGAACCAGTCGGAGTGAAGCAGGACCTTGTCGAACAGGGGCCTCCCACGCAGCGAAGCAGTCGCCGCCTCTGCCCAGAGCGGCAGACAACTGATCTTGGTCTCCGCCCACGGCAAGACGACGACGACGACGACGACGACGACGACGCACGCGGGTCACGCTCACTACGACCTGCCGAACGCAAAGCCGCGCGCGTGAGCCTTCTCGGACATGGGCCCGTCCATGGCAACCGCCTCCGCGAGCTCGCGGCCCTGCACCAGCTCCATGCAGAGCATCTTGGCCTCCGCGCGCGAGGGCGGGAGGGCACCTGGGGGCAGGAGGAAGCGACGCGAGAGCGGAGGTGGTAGATGCGCAGGTCATGGGGCTCGAGAGTCCGTGCCGCGCAGTGCTTCGCGCCACCCCTCCCTCTACTCGTCCCCCTCCTCATCCCGCCCGTGCTTTCATGACTTCGAGCGCTGAGGCAAGCTTCGTCCAAGGCTGTATGGCTGACCGTGCTGCTGAATCGGCATGCTTGCGCCTCGAAAAGTGGCGCACTCCTCTGTCGCGCAAGACCCTCCGCGCAGCTCGGCTTCATCGGCATAGAAGCCGAGGCCGCCAATCGCAAGCGGAAAAGAAAGAAAAAACACCCGGGGATCGCGACGTGCTGCAATCTTTCGTCCGAACCGACGCTCGCCCTCAGCGCCCCCGTGGGTCAGATCCGCTGGGCGTGGAGGTGTCCAATCGGGCGTGCCAGGTGTTCCTCAAAAGACGATTTGTCCTTCGGTTTGTCATTCAATTTCGGGAGCCTCTCGCGAGACCCTCCTTGGCGTGCCAGGCTCGTCAACTCGAGGTGGATCGAGCCAGGTCGCAGTCGAAGTCGTAATTGAGTCGAAGGGAAACCCTTCCATTTTGATCCCTTCCCCACTCGCAAGGGGGTCCCAGGGGGGAGTCATCAATTAGGGGGTGTCCCGGGTCAGAATACGCTGTCACCGTTTCCCTTTTCGGGCCGCCATCGCGCCCTCCTTCGGAAAAAAACAAATCAGGAGGGGGCCCAGGAGGGCCCCGAGTCGCCGAACCATGTCTCCAAGACGCTCAAGATGGCCTACAGACGGCCCAAGACGCCTCCAAGACGGACCGACAAACCTCCAAGAGGCACAAATGATTAAGTCTCAATTAGTCCTTGACAGAGTGTAAGGTCTCTCTGCCTTGTCGGTTTCCCAACGCTCGAAGACGGCGCAAGGGGCCCCAAAGATCGCCCCAAGACGGCCTTCGAGGCCGCCAAAGAAGGCGCCGAAACGGCCCTCAAGGCCTTCAAGATCGCCCAAGAGGCTTGCAAAACTGACCAAGACGGCCGAAGAACGCCCCAAGAGGGGCCCCAAAGGGCAAACACGAACCGCCATTTCGAGCTCAACACCTCAAGAGGTTCCCGGGACGCCCCCAGAAGCCAAGGAGGCTCCCAAGAGGCCCCCAAGACGCTCCCAAGAGGCTCCCACGCGGCTTCCAAGCTGCCCCCAGAGGCCCACGACAGCCCCCGAAGAGATCCCGAGAAACATCCATGAGGATTGCGACCCACTGCCCAGGCACGGAGGCGGGACGGGAAGCAAACGCTAGATCCGCCGCCCCCGATGGTCTCGCCACATGGGTGCAGGCGTGTTGGATGTTTGGAGGTTGTTGGTTCTGTTTTAACCCCCTCTGGGGCTTACGTCGATGCCGCAGGCCGCCCGGATGAATGCGTTCGAGGTGGCTGCAAAGGCTTTTCCGAAAGAGCGCGTTCTGTTGTCACTTGGGGGGCAGGTTGGAACCGGACCACCACCACCCCTCCCAGATGGAGGGTGGGGGTCGATACCCTCCCATCACCCCCCCTCTTCCCCTACTTCTCCTTTCTCCCTGTTCTCTGGCTGGCGCCGGCGTCGGCGGCGGCTGGTGGCGGCGTCGGGGAGCGTCGATGAAGACGACAACTTCCTTTCTGGGCCCGCGCGGGCGCTTGCGGAGGCGGGCGGCCGCGGCGGGGAGCGTCGACGAGGAAGACGGCGACGACGACGATGACAGTCTCTAAAGGGCATTCGTGAAGCCTCGCGGGCGCCTCTAGGGCGTCTCTTGGGGCCTCTCTGAGATGGTGGTGGTGGTGGTGGGCTGCGGTGGTGGCGGTGGTGGTGGTGGTGCTGGTGGTGGCGTAGTGGTTGGCGGTGGTGGTGATGTTGGTGGTGGTTGTTGCGATTGTGGTGGCAGGTTGTGGTTGGTGGTGGCGGTGGCGATGGTGGTGGTGCGGTGGTTTCTGGTGGCGGTGGTGGTAGTTGTGGTGCTGGTGAACTATGGTGGTGGTGGTTGTGGCCATGGTGGTGTGGTGTAAAATCGTGGTGGGAACTCGTGGTGGTTGTGGTGGTAGTGGTTGTGGTGGTGGGTTGTGGTGGTGGTGGTGGTGGCGGTGGTGGTGGTTGTGGTGGTGGTTGTGGTGGCTGTTGTGGTTGGTGGTGGCGGCGGTGGTGGCTGCGGTGGTGCTGGTGGTGGTGGTTTGTTGTTGTGGTGGGTTGTGGTGGTGGCGGTGGGTTGTGGTGGTGGTGGTGGTGGTGGCGGTGGTGGTTGTGGCGCGGTGGATTGTAGTGGCGGCGGTGGTGGTGGCTGTGGTGGCGGTGGCGCTGGCTTGTGGAGGTGGTGCTCTTGGTGACAGTAGTGGCGGTGGCGGTGGTGGTGTGGTGGTTTGTGGTGGTGGTGGCGGCGGTGGGTTGTGCTGCTGGTAGTAGTGGTGAAGGTTGTGGCGGTGATGGCGGCGGTGTGGTAGATTGAGGTGGTGGTGATGGTGGTAATTGTGGTGGGTTGTTGAATAGATGGTGGCGGTGGTGGTGAGCTGTTGTGGTGGTGGTGGCGGTGGCTGTGGTGGTGGTGGTTGTGTGGTGGTTTGGTGGTGGTGGCGGTGGGTTGAGACGGTGGCGGCGGTCGTGGCGGTGGCGCTGGTGGTGGTGGCGTGGTGGTTTGTGGTGGTGGTGGCGGTGGGCTGCGGTGTTGGTGGTGGTGGCGGTGGTGCTGCTGGTAGCGGTGTTTGTCGTGGTGGTGGGTGGTGGGTGGTGGGTGGTGGGTGGTGGGTGGTGGAGGTGGTTGTGGTGGTGATGTGGTGGTTTGTGGTGGCGGTGTTGGCGGTGGTGGTGGGTTGTGGTGGTGGTGGTGGTGGCGGTGGCGGTGGCGGTGGTGGGAATGGCGTGGTTGTTTGTGCTGATGGTGGTTGTGGTGGGTTGTGGTGGCTTGTGGTGGTGCTGGTGGTGGTGGCGTTTTTGGGGGCGGTGTAGTGGTTTGTGTTGATGGTTGGTTGTGGTGGTGGTTGTGGTGGTGGTTGGTTGTGGTGGTGGTTGGTGGTGGCGGTGGTGGTGGTGGCGTGGTGGTCTGTAGTGGCGGTTGTGGTGGTGGTGGCGTGGCCGTTGGTTCTTCCCGCCACTGTGTTTTGGCTTTGGGTCAGACAACTAATGGATGCCTCTTGAGGTCTCGTCAGAAGGGTCTCGAGGGCGTCTGATGAGCACGCGAGGGCTCGATATGGCGATTTCTCTGTTCCGTCTGCGGCCTCTCTGGGCCCTCTCAGGCCATCGTCGCTGCATCCCCGCCGCCTGCCCTGCTGGCCGCCGCCGACGCCGGCGCTGGCGCTGGCGCGGGGGGGTGGTGAAACCCCCACCCTCTTCCTGGGCCCTCTCTGGTCATCGTCGCTGCGTCCCCGCCGTCGGCGCTGCTGGCAACCGCCAACGCCAGCGCCGGCGCCGGCGCGGGGGGGGGGTGAACCCCCCCCCCTTCCTGGGCCCTCTCTGGTCATCGTCGCTGCGTCCCCGCCGTCGGCGCTGCTGGCAACCGCCAACGCCAGCGCCGGCGCCGGCGCGGGGGGGGGGGTGAACCCCCCCCCTTCCTGGGCCCTCTCTGGTCATCGTCGCTGCGTCCCCGCCGTCGGCGCTGCTGGCGGCCGCCAGCGCTGGCGCCGGCGCCAGCGCCGGGGGGGAGGGTTCGGGAGGGGGGGGGTTACAGTCCCCCTGGTTCTGATCGACGGCGGGGGCACCCCTCGGTTCGAAACGCGCCGCCGAATATTCCCAAGGCAGGTGCCCGTGAAACGCGCTCTCTCGCTTGTCCTAATCAAGGTGGGCCCAAGGTGGCCCACCATGGTCTCCAAGACGGCCAATGTGTCCCGAGGTTCGTACAAGACGGTGTAAGATTACCTCCAAGACGGCCCAGGAGAGTTCAATATGCCTCCAAGTTCGCCCAAGAAGCCTCCAAGACGCCCCCAGAGGCCCCCAAGAGTCCTCCACGACGGCCCAAGGAGGCCTCCAAGAGGTCCTCCAAGGGGGCCCGAAAATTCCAAAAAGCTGGATTTCCCGTGGGGTTTTGGTGTATGTTTGACTTGTTCAAAACGGCCCAAGACGCACCCAAGATCGCCTGAAGACGGCCTCAAAGGCCTCCGACCACTATAGCGGCACGAGAGGCCCCCAAAGCGACCAAGATGGCCTCCAAGTTCGCCCAAGATGGTCCAAGATGGCCTCCAAGACGGCCCAAGGGAGTCCGAAATGCTTACAGGTTAGCTCAAGACGCCTCCAAGACAGGCCCAGACGGCCAAAGAGGCCCCTAAGAGGCCTCCCAGACAGCCCAAGAGGTCTACAAGAGGTCCTCCAAGAAAGCCCAGAGAGGTCACAATCGTTGATGTTGCTAGGGTTTCTGAAAAAAAAAATGATGTTTGCTTCTTGTCGGTCTTCCGACGGCCCGGGACGGCCCAAGAGCTCCCAAAGATCGCCCCCAGTGCGCCTCAGAGGTGCCCTCCAGAGGCCCGCCCCCGAACAAATCGAGCAAACGGGCTAGACTGTCGATCTTCGATCCTCCTCCTCCTTTTTCTTCTCATCCTCCTCCTTCTTTTCCGCCTCTTCCTTATGCTCCTCCTCCTCCTCATGCTCCTTCTCCTCATCTTCTTCCTCATCGTCGTCCTCCTCCGAGTGTACTATTCCACCTCCTCCTCCTCCTCCAGCTCCTCCTCCTCCTCCTCTTCCTCCTCCTGTTCCTGTTCCTGCTCCTGTTCCTGTTCTTGCTCCTGCTCCTGCTCCTGCTCCTGCTGCTCCTGCTGCTCCTGCTGCTGCTGCTGTTCCTGCTGCCCCTGAACATGCTGCTCTTGCTGCTCCTGCTGCTCCTGCTGTTCCTGCTGCTCCTCCCGATGTTGCTACTGCTGCTGCTGCTGCTGCTGCTGCTGCTGGTGCCGCTGTTGCTCCTCCTGCTCCTCCTGTTCCTCCTCTTCCTGCTCCTCCTCATCCTGCTCCTCCTCGATCCTCCTCCTCCTTCCAGACCGAAGCGACCCGAAAACCTCAAGCAGCAATCCGCCGCCTGCGGGTAGTCGGAGGTCCCCCGCCTGTAGACCGAGCCGCCCGCGACGCAGCCTGCGATGTTCGGGTGCTGCCTGCGCCCCGGGCGAGGGGGGGGCGACGAGGCGGAACGGGACGCGGAGTTTGTGCGCCAAGTAAAACCGGATGCAGTGCACAAACCTACGTTTTTGAACCCACGGTATGGACGTGAAGTAGCAATGCAGGACCCGTGAATGGACGCCCACGTTCAGACTCCCTCGCGAGCTCACTTTGAGGGACCTCCCACACGACAATTTCTCGCCCAGAACTGACCGACACCCCCCACCACGCTCCCACCACGGCTCCACCCTGCCCCCACCACGCCTCCACCACGGCCCAGCACCCGCACAGCACCCCCCCCATTCCTCGCTGTCACCACGCCCCCGCCGCGGCTCCACGCCATCAAAGATTGCGGCGGCTCCCGTGGTGGCAGTACAAGCACATATATCGAAAACAACTGCTCTAGCAAACCCCCACCAGCCAACCAAACCGCCCCAATCAACCCAACCATCCAACCCGCCAACCAGCCCAATCAGCCACCCGCCAACGAGCCAACCCTCCAACCCCAGCCGAATGCCCTCCGTCGCCACTGCGCGAGGGGGTCTCTTTCCAGAGCGGCAAGAAAACTCACCATCCTTGGGCCTGGCGCGACCACGCGGAAAAGCTACATCGAACCGTGTCGTGGGGGGGCGGGCTTCCCGCCGGGGGGGGGGGGGGGGCTGGCACGGTTTGGTGCCTCAAGTGCAGTACCGTTGCCACCTATTACCTTTCCCCGCGCCCGTGCCCTCCACGGGAAAGCTCCCTCCTCCCAGCGGCGGGGGCCAGGGACGTAATGAAAGAAGGAGAGGCGCCATGAAACCTGGGGAGAACTCATGGCCCCCGCCATGATTTCCATCTCTCCCCCTGGTCACCACCCCCCTCTTGGCCGCCCCCGATCCTGGAGACCGCCGCCAGGTCTCAGGCCCCGCTCGGCGCCTCTCGGAGGGCGCACGGCGGCGAAACGGCCATGGCAGACCCAATCGGACAGCCACGCGGAGGGACCGCCCCCGGGCGGTGAAGGGTAAAACGCGCCCCTTCCGAAACCTGCCGTCACTTTGAGGGCCCAGGGGAGAGCATTCTCAGAGGACTGGCGGGACAGCCGCGGGACGCCAAACCGCACTGCAGCGGTGGGGGGCGCGTTCGTCCTCGAGCTCGTCGTCGCTGCTCGAGCCCCGCGTGGGGTCTTCTTTGTTGAGGGCCTGCTTGGACGGGGGAGGCCAAATCTGAGATCCTCCGCATGGCGATATTGGAATGATATTGCATTTGCGGTATGACAGCTTGAGTTGTGGAGGCAAGCTGTTTAAAGACACGGGCGAGTGCTGAGCAAACTAGCTTCAACCCAGCTGCGACCGACTAAAACCGAACGTGAACAACTCTAAAGCCTAACTTCAACAACTTCAACTGCGCATGTTCTTCCTTCAGCCAAGCGCTGCGCGCTTCGATTTGAATTCAATCATGCGCGTCGCACTCCCCCTCAACCAAGCACTTTGCGCTCCAGCAAAATTCAAGCATGCGCTGCTCGCCCCTATTCTTCTCACTCCAACCAATCGCGTTGCGCTCTGATATGTCTGCAACTGCGCGCTTCGCGCCCCAGCGCTTGCGCTGTCTGCGTACCCCCAACCCTGACCCATGCGCTGCCGATCGCATTCCACGTTAGCGCATGGCGCCGCGCTATCTTACTTATCCAGCGCGTGCGCTGCCGAGTGGAAACCAATCTGGCTTGAGGGCCCGCGCGCCCCCACGAGGGCCCGCGGGCCCCGGAAGCCGGGAAACGGCGAAACACCTCTGGCGAGTTGACCCCCTGGGCCGTCCCGCGGGACCCTCTAAGGTCGGCGGCGAACAGGGAGGGGGGAAGTGAGAAGGAGGAAACCTTCTCAGAAGGCCCCGAAATCCCCCCCAGCCGTCTGATAACTTGTCGAAGCTCTTTCCCTGGAGGCACGAAAAGACTTCACAGAGGCGGGAGGGCATCTTCTGCTTCTGAGAAGTCCTGCCGCCTTCTGAGAAGGCCTTCTCATTCTCATCCCATGCCCCCCTCGCTCGCCGCCGACAAGTAGGCCCGCACGCGGGCCCCTCACAGAGAAGACAGGCTCGAGGCCGAAAGCTCTGGGCTTCCCTGGTCGCCCCGCCTGGCCCTCGCAGCAGCCTCGCGCGGGCCTCGGCAGCGAAGACCGCTGCGAGACGGAGAAGCTTCCCTGACGCAAGCCCGGGAACAGTCCCTTCGTTGCTGTCGTTGCTGCGCGGCCGCCCCGAAGAACAGGCGCACACGGGGCACGCAAGCGTGAACGTATTCTGATTTGGCGTTTCGACAGTGGGCAAAAGGGGGGGGGAGGAGGAGGGGGTCTGGCTCCGGACCTCTGCTCAGCGGGCTCCGGACCTCTGCTTAGCGGCGACTGTTTGCAACAACGCGTCTTGTGGGCGAGACTCCACCTGCCTGAAATTTGTGTGATCCGCGGGTCGAGAGCGCACCTCTTCCGGTCGAAGCTAAGCGGGCCGCGCACAGCTTTAATTGACAGAGGGGGGCAGGCAGAAGGAGGAGCCTCACGTCAAGGCTTCAAGAGAGGGCAAAGCCCCGGAATCAGGCGGTGCCGCAGACGATGTGCATGCAAAGGAACGCCTTGTACAGGAACCCGGTGGCGAAGCACCGGAAAAAACCAGATGCTGTGGTGGTGGTGCCGTCAGCGGCGCGCCGTGCGCCTGCCTGCAACAGGCGCCGAAGACAGCCAAGAGCTACTCCACGACGGGGGGGAGGCGGAGGAGGAGGAGGAGGAGGAGGAGGAGGAGGAGGAGGAAGGAGGAGGATTAGGAGGAGGAGGCGGAGGAGGAGGAGGAGGAGGGGGAGGAGGAGGAGGAGGAGGAGGGGGAGGAGGAGGAGGGGGGGGGGGCGAGGGCCCGCGCCGATCGGCAAAACAATTCATTAAAAACCACCACCAAATGACGTGTCGGCGATCCCGTGCCTGCCGCGGTCGTGCCCTGCGGGCCGAGGGGGCTCCCCCCGCCGTGCGTGGCCTCCCGGGGGGAGTTTTCCCGGAGGCCTCCGCCGGCTCCCCCCCGCCTCCGCGGCGAGGGCGGAGGGCAGAAGGGGGAACAGAAGAGGAGGGGGAGGAGGAGGAGGAGGAGGAGGAGGAGGAGGAGGAGGAGGAGGAGGAGGAGGAGGAGGAGGAGGAGGAGAGGAGGAGGAGGAGGAGAGGAGGGGAGGAGGAGGAGGAGGAGGAGGGGGAACAGAAGAGGAGAGGAGGAGGGAGGAGGAGGAGGAGGAGGAGGAGGGGGAGGGGGAAGGGGAGGGGGAGGAGGAGGAGGAGGAGGAGGAGGAGGAGGAGGAGGAGGAGGAGGAGGGAGAGGAGGAGGAGGAGGGGAGGAGGGGGGAGGAGGGGGAGGAGGAACAGAAGAGGAGAGGAGTTGTGACGGCAAGCGGCAGGCGGAGGAGAGGAAACAGGAGGCGGAGAAGGAGGAGCAGGACCAGTGCCTAGGTTGACGATGGATTCGATGTCCCCGGAGCCAGCAGCGATATGCTGGCTGGCTCTCCCCCTGCAATGCAACTCCTTCACGGTGTGGGCGAAGGGCGGGGGCCGTTTCAAAACAACAGCTGAACCCGAAAGCCCTTTGGGTGCTGACCTGCAAGGGCTTTTTCAAACCTGCAGGGCCCTACCGATGTTTGGGCACGCTCCCGGCCAGTCCATCTGAAAACCTCTGGAATTGGATTCGCTGAAAGTGCCGCATCGGCGACACAACAACATTCTGCACGGTATGGTCTCGACGGCGTAGTCGAAGAAACAACTATTGTGCCCTCTCGGCTGGGCCACCAAACTCGAGTGATACAAACAAAAGCATGGGTGCGCATCCTGCTCCCTTGCGGTGAGGCGGCGCTGATTGCCACAGCCTGCCCTGCAGGCTGAGCAAGTCCAACGATGATTGTGCGTGATCCACTGGTGGGCCTTCCTGGGATTCTCCTGAGAAAAAGAAGGAGGGAGGAGGACTGGCCATGGGTATGTGAGCGGGTCGTCGGACCTCGGGGGAGGTTCCCGTTCGAGCGGGCACCCCGAAACGACAGCACGTGCCCACAGCTCTTTCCCTCCCTCCTTCTGGGTATGGGCGCGTGCTGATTGTTCGCAGAGGAGGAGGAGGAGGAGGAGGAGGAGGAGGAGGAGGAGGAGGAGGAGGAGCCAGCCTCGGCGAGGGAGCCTCCGTTCTCCCGGAGGGCCCAGGTGCCGCCGCCCCTGTGGGCGGGCTGCAAGCTGCCGCGGGCGTGCCAAAGGCCTCTCCTGCCAGCGGCAGGGGCGAGAGTGGGCCACAACAGGAGGGCCTCTGGAGCAGGACGCAAGCATCTGGTGATGAGCTTGACCTCGCTTTCGGCCTGCTCAACCTCGGCTTGACTGGGCGCTCCGTGCTGGCTGGCTGCAGCAGTTGCCTTTTCCGACAGCGGCGTCGCTGCCCGTGGCATGCCACCAATCGGTGCTGCCCCTCACGAGGCCAGATACCGGGCCAGTCCTCCAACGACAGAAGTCACAGGGGAGGCAAGGAGGGGGAGGAGGAGGGGGAGGAGGAGGAGGAGGAGGAGGAGGAGGTGGAGGAGGCAAGCACCTTCCGCAGCGTGGTGTAAGGAACGCCGTGTAAGGAACGAAGGGGCGCTTCCGGCCACGGCGAGCCCGGGCCCTCAACCAGAGCCCCTCTTGGCGTCCTGCCTGTACCCTCTCCTCCCGCTCCCCCTTCAGTCCCCATCCTCCCCCTCCTCCTCCTCCTCCTCCTCCTCCTCCTCCTCCTCCTCATTTTCCTCATTTTCCTCCTCTTCCTCTCCCCTCCTCTCCTCCTCCTCCTCCTCCTCCTCCTCCTCTTCCTCTTTATTCCTCTTCCTCCTCCTCCTCCTCCTCCTCCTCCTCCTCCTCCTCCTCTGGACCCGCTGTGCACAAGACCCACGCGAAAGCAGGATATGCCCCAAGGAGGGAGGCTGCGACCGCGCCGAATGACACCGATGGGGACGGCAGGGGCTCGCACCGCACCGAGGGCGCGGAGCGGCTGCAGCAATCACGGAGGAGAGGGGTGAAAAAGGCACAGAGGGTGCCCCACAGACTTGAGGACCGCGATCTCCTGGTCGATGAGCGCCATCTTGTCCGCGCCGGCCTTGCCACGACCCGACCGGGGGGGGGGAAGTCGAGTGAGCCCCAAGGGCGGGCGGAACGACCAAGTCCCCGTGCCGCGAGTCTCGCACCGCGGGGGGTGGGTGACTGGAACGGGATGCCCGAAACGTGGACGCTGTCGCTGAGCATCTTAGGAGGCAACCTCTGGGACGTCTTCGTATGAACGTCTAGGGCTGTTAAGCCCGAGCAGGAGACCGTCCAACCGGATCAGGCCAGATTAAGCCGGGGACTAAGCGGGCCTAACCGATATTACGCTTGCTGTCAATTGCGGATCTACCAGCGCCAGGGCAAATCTAAACTCCCAGAGATTGCATCCTGGAGTGTCGATGCCCTGGTTCCTTCGGGTGCTGCTAGGAGTGCCCCCGGCCCAAAAGCCCCCCCAGGATTTCCACAGAAAACCCCACGGCCTCCCGAGAACCCACTGCGAGGCAGAGGGGGCCTCAAAAGGGCTCTCTGATGAAGCGAAAAGCTGGGGGCACCTTCGGCCAGAGGCAGGGGAACCAAAAGGTACCGATGCTGCTACTCCCCGCGCACCAGACTCCCGAGGCGAATCCAGCGGCGCCCAGCGAGGACGAAGGCCTCCCAGGAGGCCCAACAGGGGGAAAACGAGGGCAGGGTAGCGGGGTGGACACCCCTGCCTCCTCTTCTGAAGGGGTACCTTTAGCACTATGTCGGGCGTGTCCCCCTACAGGGGGATTTCCGACGAAAAATGAACAATACTCCCAAAACATGCCCCAGAAAGGTAATCAAAAAAAACAGGCCCCGGATCATGTTTGGACTATGTTTGGGATACTTTGGAATATTTTTTTACGTTTCATCGAAAATCTAGGGCGACGAAGTCTATACATATCCACTGCTCCCTGGCCAGGCCCATCGTGAGCCCGGCAGCGGTGTATACGCGAGGCCCTCCTGGCTTGGCCAGGAGGGCGTATACACAGCTCCTGGGTTCAGGATGGGCATGGTCAGGGAGCAGTGGATATGTATAGATTTCGTCGCCCGAAAATCCCCCTGTAGGGGGACGGGCCCGACTTTGCTTTCGCAGCAGCCCAGGTGCCCGGCGCCCGGACGGGCGGCGGGAGCAGGGCTCGGGGGGCACCCGCGCTGCCCCCGGGCCAGCTGCCGGGGCGCGGGCCCGCGCACGGACGGGCGCCGCGGCCCTCCCTCCGGAAGCGGGCGGGGGGGCGGGAACGACGAGGGGGCGGCGCACCCCTCCCAACTGCTCCCCCCTCCACCCCTCCCTCCTCCTCCCTGCACCGCAATCTCCTCCTCCTCCTCCTCCTCTTCCTCCTCCACCTCCTCCTCCTCCTCCTCCTCCTCCTCCTCCTCCTCCTCCTCCTCCTCCCCTTCTCTCTCTCTCTCTCGGCCTAAGGGATCGTTGAACGCGGCCATCCCCCCCTCATGGGCCGTTGTCCATGAGGGGGTTGATCAAACTATAGAGCGCCAGGCGACTCCAGGGGCCGTCGCCCCTGGATCACCGGCTGTAAAATAAAGTAACAGGTAGATTGGCTCCTCCTCATTATGCTTCTCCTCCTCCTCCTCCTCAAGGTCCTACATACACATAGCCCTGCCTCGTTACACCATCCAACGCATCGGCAGGGCGCTTTCGAAGCTTAGCCCACGCTTAGTCTGATATTCTCTGGCTGGGACCCCCTGACGATGTATACTCATGGACGCAGGATGCGGGTGAACGGTCCGTTTCCACAGTGCTGCGTTCGCCATAGCGCCGCGCACAGATGTATGGTAGGCGCCCTGCGATTGTCCTGGTGGCAGGAACACCCCCACACACAAACACACACACGAACACACACACACACACACACACACACACACACCCACCCACCCACCCACCCACCCACCCACCCACACACACACACACACACACACACACACACAGCCACACACACACACGCACACGCACACGCACTCACCCACCCACCCACCCACACACACACGCACAAACACACACAGACACACACACACACACACACACACACACACACACACACACACGCTCCTCCAGGCGGTACAGCAAGACATCGTGGGCTGCTACCTGTTCCAGACGTCGACGCTCGACGCTCGCCCGGCATCAGCTCTGGCACTACAGCAGCCATACGATCGCGATCAAACATTGCATTGTGCTGCAAGCCCGTTCGTCAGCCACGAACTATTCGCAAGGCTTGCACATCAGTCCCGACACAATGCCAAACCAACTATTCCTCCACAACTTGCCGTCGCTCGGACGTCCATTTCCCGTGCATGTTTCGGTTTCGTGCGTGTATGTGTGTTGCTCGATGGTCCAGGATGGTCCAGGATGGTTCTCGCAGAGAAAAAATGCACAAGTCCGAGCGATGTCAAGACAAAAATGTAGAGCGTCAGACTTCATTACGGATAATTAGTGTGCCAAGCATTTAAATTGATGGCAGGTTCGAGGATGAACGACAATTCCTATTTATGATCGAATTCTCAACTGAAGATGTGAGGCCATGAAACACGAACTGTGCACGGATGGGCGTTCCTTTTTCAACATCGTACTTGTTTCAACGCCACGCACGTTTGCCAACAGCCACGGCATTTGTTGGGAAAAAGGTTAGGGGAAACTATGGGGATGACAAATGATGCATGCAGTCCGTTAAAACATGCGGCAAAACAAGAACTGACGGCAACACCGCGTCGAATGCACCGGGATTCCTCAGCGCCGCGCACGTTTTCTTGAATATATATATATATATATATATATATCAGCTACTACTCTTGGATTCAAGGCAACTCCCCTGCAAGCTTATGGTGATTATTACGGCATTGCGCGGTCTCACATTCACATGATCGTCGGTGCGCATGCAAACTCGCACTGGTCCCTCACGCTGCGGTCCACGGGACCCTTCACGCTCCCACCGCTCCCCGCCGAAGAAGAATAAGAGGCAACTACTGGTATCAATTCGAGGAGGGGCATTCAGGTACGAGGGTGTGCTGCAGCATCAATAGAGCGCGCCCAGCGTGCTACTGTCTTTCTCCCCTGCATACCCTCCTGCTCCCGTCAAGAATCACCCTCCTTCCTCCTCCTCCTCCTCCTCCTCCTCCTCCTCCTCCTCCTCCTCCTCCTCCTCCTCCTCCTCCTCCTCCTCCCCGTCCACCTCGCCGTGCTCCTCCGCACCACGTTCTGCCAATTCGCATATCGAGGCTGCAAGCACCCCAGAAAGACTTCCACCAGTCCGGCGAGAGAGAAACACCATATCGGACCAGTCGGCCGGCAGGCAGCGGCACGCAGACCGAACACGGACCCAGGCGCGACGCCTGCTTGACTCCCACTGAGAGGAACTCTCACGCTTGGCCAAGACTGCCAGCATGCCCGCAAGAGCATGGCCAACCGGTCACAAACAGGGCTCGAGCTCAACGATGCGATTCTCTTTCGTTTTGTTTGTGGCGTCCTTCGTTCTGTCTTCGTTCTGCCTTTGCCACACCACGAAATCAACACGATAACGGTCCGGTACATCGCAACAACTCCGTTTAGCTCGAGCCCTGATGCACCAATGGGATCGGCAGACCCGTTCGATGAGCGAGGGCAGACGCATAAAGAGCATTCGGCTAATGCCGCCACCAGTCCGCTGTCTCAGCTAGGGGCCAGGGCGTGCAGAAAATGACGCCGCGAAACCAAGGCAGTCGGGAGCCCTTACTGAGGATGGCCAATTGCTCCTCCTCCTCCTCCTCCTTCTCCTCCTCCTCCTCCTCCTCCTCCTGCTCGTCGCTCCTCCTCCTCCTCCTCCTCCTCTTCCTCCTCCTCTTCCTCCTCCTCCTCCTCCTCGTCATACCTTTCCTAACTCGCCAGGGTCACCACAACCCTCAGCCCCTCGACGAACACAGTCACTGCCACTCCTGCCCGAGCCTCGCGAGCCCCGGGGACGCCCCTCCTCGTCTGGGGGCTCGGCGTGCAAATCGATCCCAAGTGCAGGCAAGTAAAGGAAGAACAAGACTGCACGGGAATCATCGGGAGGGGAGCTCGAGAAGCCAGCGCGGCGCTTGCCATTGCGCCAGCTTGCCTGATCCAAGATCAGGTGCTTCACGGGCATGTGCTTGATGGCGACCGTCTCGCCAGTGTCCAGTCTTTTGCCGACCTTACTGGTCCATCATGCGGCGGTCGGCCAACAGGAAGGCTTCAGCACCGTGTTTGCCAAATGGCCGGCTCGGTTCCCTCATCCTGCCGCATGATCCCTGGCTAATGCGAAGCTCAATGTTTCCGCAATCTACAAACCAACAGCGCGCAGATCGAACAATCGGCCGACGTCGAGAACCAAAGGGACCGAGACGGTGGCCCTTAGAAGATGCCTTGAGGTGGTGTGCACACAAGCTGGGGGGGAGACAGAAAGGCACCGATACCACTACTCCCAGAATTTCGAGGGGGACCCAGTCGTGGCGACGAAGGCTCGCTGAGCTCCAGCCAGCTTCGAGGCAATGCCGCGTTTTCACGTCATCCTTGGCCACTGTATGAACGGTGCCCAGGGAAACACAAACAAATCCAGACAGTTCTATATATATGTTTATGTGTGTATATACACACATACATGTATGTGTATATTTCTACACGTGTCCCAGGTGTTCATCTTCGCCTCCATTTCCCATATATTCCCAAATCCTAACGGGGATCCACCTCCATGCGTGTCCGTGGCGGAACTTCAGTCCTGAACTAATTATGCCGAACATGATCGGTGCGCCGATCCTATCTCGCTGGGGCCCCCGCGTGCACCTTGCCCTGCGCGCCCACCCCGAGCACCTGATCGGCGCGGGAGAGAGGCGTGGTGAGGGAGCCAATGAAAGAAGAACCACCTGGGAAGCCTGCATAAGAACTACCATTACGGACGATGGGCCCGAGCGCGGGATCGAGCCGGATTAAGCATAGTCTTAGGTCGGGCATGTCCTCCTACAGGCGGATGTTGGACGAAAAACAAAGAATAATCAAAGAAAGGTCCAGGGCAGCCAAAAACAATCGACAAATCTTCCCCCGACTATTTGCTGGGCTGTGTGTGATGTTTCCTCGTGTAGAGGGACATGTCCGACGTAAGCGTAGTTCAGCAAGCAGCAGAAAGCGGCCACGCGAACCTCGCGCCCTCGCGCCCCAGCGCCGCCCAGACCGCGACGCGCGCGAAGCGTGATGATCTTCGCGCCCCTCCGCGGGTGACCTGGATTGGAACATGCTTGTCGACTAGACGCAAGAGCGACCCTGGGTAAGAGAGACCTTTGGTGCGCGGCTTTTTGGGGGCCGCGGGGGGGGGGTCCAAACACAAGCGCGCAAGCCGCTACTATCGCGTTGCGTTCGGAGGTCGGGGGACCCCATTGGGCCCGCACCAAAGGTCACTCTGGCGAAAGGTCACTCTTACGTCTAGTCGAGTTTGAAAGGTTGGGGGGCCAAGAGGCTGAACTAGGCCAAATGAGGCCCGATCCGATATTAAAGGAAGTAGGAATGGAGTTAGTAAGCACGACTCAGCGGGATGATGCCGGATTCGGTCAGTCTGTTTCGACCGCGGATGCGTTTCCAACAAGGCAGGGGCGGCGGTGATTGGCCGTAGGCGTCTTCGATTACAATCCATCCGCGCCGATCTACCCAACATGTACAAAAGCACGCTCGCGTGCGTACACAAGGCGTTCCTCGGACCGGCTTTCACACGCACCGGGAGGAGTGTGTTAGCACTGCGTAGCACCAATATACCTGTTCAGTGACATCACCGCACACATTGCCTTCGGTTGTGCATCCTCCTTTCTGCCGCGTACCGCGTACCCCATCGACGACCGTCGTCTCCAAGGTTTCCGATACGCACGTGGGGAAAACAACCACACCTGGATGTGGGTAATATGGTAAACATACGTCGTAGCATACCTATTACGACCCTTCGGATGAGATGGAAGGGGACATGCGGTTGCCTTGCGTCTGCGTGTGTATCTGCAGTACACGATTAAATATATGCAACTACGCGTGTACATGGCCATTTGTCTGCATACGCCTCCTGGCTTCTAAACAAACGTATACCCGGCGCGATTAACCACATAATGCACGTTGTTGCGAAGCGTAAACACAGTGCACATATATATAATATATAAATATAAATATATACATAAGATATACATACGCGGGTACCGAATCAATGGTATACATCTATATATATATATATATATATATACACGTGTGTGCGTACATGTGAGCATGTCTACCACGTGCCGCACGATGGCGGCATGTGCATGGAATCGGTGCGAGTATGTGCGCACCTGCGTACAGCAGTGCACCAACATGCGCCACTTCAGACTTTCTTGCAAGCGCGCCCTGTGGCAACAAAAAGGGGACGAGGGAGGAGAGGGAAGGGGGGGGAATCACGTCGAAGCAGCACAGCCCGGAGCTGCTGGCATCAGCCTCAGTCCGGCGGCCCGGCCAGTGTGGCGAGCCGCCAGCGCAGCAACGCACGCCAGACCGCCCCGGGCCCCCCCCGCCCTCTCCTCAAGGGGCACGAGGACACACAAACAAATACACACAAAGAAAATGATTCCCCGTATGTCTCCATATGTTCTGGGTTCTTGTCTTCCCGCCCAATTCCCATATTGTCCCATATCTTCCTGGGAGCCGACGATGAATTGTGTATGTGTGTGTGTGTGTGTTTTTTCCCCCTCCTGATCTCCGCAGGGACGAGCAGCAGCGCGGCGGCACGGGGCGGGAGCGGAGGCCGGCCCAGGGCAGGGCAGGGCCGGGCCGCCAGGGCCTGCCGCCGCGGGGCAGCCGCGCCGCACCGGAGGCGGGCGACCCACCCGGGGAAGGCCGCGCGCGGCGCCCGGGCGCCCACCACCGAAGAGAGTGCGGGCGGCCCCGGCGGAGCCTCTCCCCTGCGGCCCCGCGGGGGGGTCGGGCGCCCAGCGCGCGCGCGCGGGCCGCCGCCCCCTTGGGCCTGGCCGCGCCCGCGGCCGGCCGCGGCTGGGCGGCGAAAGCCCTCCGCGGCGGCCCACCTGCCCAGCGCCGGCGAACCCGGGGCGGCCCCGCGCTCTCATGGATCGCCCGCGGTGCGGCCGCCGGCAGCCGCTGGAGCACCCGCGGCGGCGTGCAGGGCGCCCGAGCGGGGAGCTGACCGCCCCCCGCACGCGGCGGCCCCCGCCAGCTCGTCGGGTCCGCATGGTCGGCGCGGCCCTCGGGCGCGGCGCCCCTGGCCGCAGGAATGCGGCGCCAGGAGTTCCCGCACACCGGGCCGAGGTGCAGCCGCACTGGCAATGCGGCACCAGGAGCTCCCACACACCCGCGTGCGCACCAGGAGATGTAGCCGCTCTGGCATGCACCGACTTCCACATTTCGCATCGCATGTGCTGTGCCATGTCACCGGTATTGCTCTCCGGATTCCGACGTCTGGCCGTAGCATGAGGGAGGGGAGGGGGGTCTGAGTCTGGGCTGGGGCTTAGTCGATCTGCTTTTGTGAGTCGTGCAAGCAGACTGGGGGGAGTCCTGACAAAGCAGCCAAGTTTTGGTCTATGGATGGGGTGGGAATTGGGGGTGGGGCAGGGGCCCGCGCCGATCGGCGAACCAACCCATGGAAACAAATGTACACGTGGTGGTACCCCTGTAGTTACCTGCGTCTACGAAGCCAACACTCACCATTGCTCAAACGTCCATTCGTGCATTTCTCGATACCGTGCGTGCATTGTTCGCAATATGGACCAGGATGTTCCTCGATGTCCTCGCCCCCCCAAAATGCACACGTCCGAGCGACGCTAAGAGCAACGGCCATGATCAATGACAAACATACAGCCCCATCGCCCTCTGCCACGGTTGGTGTGCGTGCGTGTGCGTGTCCAGCTCCGTGTTTGTTCCTTCGTCGTGCTTCCTGCGGGGCACTAGCCTGGACCACCCCAACGAATCGAGCGCATCGAGGCCCAGCACGCATCGGTATCGTGCTGCATCTTGCTGTCGCCGCCCCTCGCCAGAGATGGCTTCGCAAACAGACATGCAGGTGGGTGGAGGGGGAGGGGGGGGGAGGAGGGGGAGGAGGAGGAGGGAGGAGGAGGTGGAGGAGGAGGAGGAGGAGGAGGAAGCAGGAGGAGGAGAAGCAGGAGGAGAAGCAGGAAGAGGATGAGGAGGCGGAGGAGGCGGAGGGAGGAGGGAGGGGGACGGGGGGGAAAGGAGAGGGGGGGGAGGAGGAGGAGGAGGAGGAGGAGGAGGAGGAGGAGGAGGAGGAGGAGGAGGAGGAGGAGGAGGAGGAGGAGGAGGGAGGAGGAGGAGGGGGGGCAGGGAGAGAGGAGGAGGAGGAGGAGGAGGAGGAGGAGGAGGAGGAGGAGGAGGAGGAGGAGGAGCAGGGGGGAGTGTTCCAAAAATTGCACCCACCCACCCACCCTCCGAACACTGCGAGGCCTCAGAGCCTCACGCCCCTGCCCCCATCCCCCAATATCGCCCCCATGCACAGGTTCCCCCCGCCCCCATGCACAGGTTCCCCCCGGGCCGTAGGCGACCCGAGGAGGAGAAGGAGAAGGAGAAGGAGAAGGAGGGGGAGCAGGAGGAGGAGGAGGAGGAGGAGGAGGAGGAGGAGGAGGAGGAGGAGGGGTAGGGGTAGGAGGAGATGGAGGAGGCGGAGAAGGGAGGAGGAGGAGGAGGAGGAAGAAGAGGAGGAGGACGAGGAGGAGTAGGAGGACGGGTCGCCTAAGCCCTTCGGAAAAACCCTCCACGCCCCCACCCAGTCGTGGAGGGTATGCGCGGCAGCGCAAGCAAACGACCAGCGTTGAGACGCATGGGATGGCGACGGCCCCGCGCCCAGCCTTATTCTCGTCCATTTCAAACGGGATGCCGTCCAGCTCGAACGTCATCTTGCTGCCCTCCTGGTCATAGAAGCTGACAGCATTCAGGCTGACCTTGTGAGGAACCACCGATTCTACTCTCGGCATCAATGGATATTCCACGGCGTGAAAAATTTGCAGCGAACGCTGTTCCCCGTCAGCTATGGTCGACGGAGTAGGTGAGGATGTCGAGCCGCATCGACACTTAAACAAAAACAAACGCGACGGCTAACAATGCTTGTCGCCCCGCATTCAGCACAGGCGCTCCAATCCAAGAAATTGCAATTACTGTCATCACTACTACCGCTGCTATCAGGATGGGTACGCGCCAGCGCTGGGGCGCTGGGAGGAGATGGAGGGGACGGTGGAAACGAGGATGGGAAGAGGTGGGCATAGAGTAGAAATAGGTCGGGCATGTCCCCCTACAGGCGGATTCTGGACGAAACATGAAAATAGCCAAGAAATGCTCAAACATGCTCAAACAACTGGTCAAAAATCGTCCCCTGAGCATTTTCCCCCACTCGCCATCGCTCGGACGTCCGTTCCCCGTGCATGTTTCGGTTTCGCGCGTGTTTTTGTCCCCAGGGTGAGCAAAAATGCTCCTCGAGGGTCCTCGCCGAAGGAACAATGCACACGTCCGAGCGATGCCGAGCCCATGTTTGCGCACTCGTCCTGCAGAGGGACCTGCCCGACTTCAGAAGAGAAGGACGGACGGCACGGAAGGGCTGAGGACAGACGCGAGGTGGAGGCGATCGTGAAGGGGCCCTGGGACACACAAATAAATACACACAAATTCGCCGGCCCAACGGGCCAGAGGCGTGCTAAGATCTCCGGTAACTGGTTAACAATTTTCTAGTTCGCGCGCGCGGGGCGGCCCCTGGGGGTCCCCGGACGAAAAGTACCCCGACCAGGTCCCGGCCGGGTCCCCCCGAGCGCTCCATGAGCGCACCAACAGGGCTCCGAGACGTCCCCGAGAGCCCCAAGAAAGGCCAAGAGGCCCCCAAGAGGCCCCCAAGATGGTACACGAGGGGTCCGACATGCCACAAGATCGCTCCAAGACGCCCAAGATAGCCCCCAGACGCCCCAAGAGGCCTCCAAGAGCACTCCCAATAGGGCCCCCGGAGGCAAAAATCATTGTTTTTCCATAGGTTTTTGAGAGATTTTGGAGCTTCCACCTTTTCGGCTTCCCGACGCCCCAAGACGGCCCAAGAGGCCCCCAAGATCGCCCCAAGAGGGCCCAAGAGGCACCCAAGAGGGCCCCAAGATGGCCCAAGAGGGCTCGAAGACGGCCCAAGAAGCCTCCAAAACGGTCCAAGAGGGCCCCAAGAACGCCCCCAAAGGGGCCCCAGAGAGGGAACACGAAACAACATTTCGAGCCCTCGGCCCTAAGAAGCCCCTACGAGGCCCCTAAGAGGCCCCAAGAGGCCCCCACGGGGCCCTCAGGAGGCCCCCAAGAGTCCCCCAAGCGGCCCCAGGAGGCCCCCCAAATGCCCCCCCGAGCGCCCCAGGAGTCCCCCAAGCGGCCCCAGGAACCCCCAAAGCGCCGCATTGACACCAGGCCCTCGGGCAAACGGCAGACATGAGACTGTATGGGCCGGCGGAATGAGCGAAGCGATTAAATAAAAGGATTCCCCATAGTTTCCCATATGTTCTGGGTTCTTGTCTGCCCCCCCACTGCCCATAGTTTCCCATGTTTTCCTGGGAGTCGACGATTAATTGTGTATGCGTGTGTTTTTCCCCTCCTGAGATCGCGGCGCCGAGGCAGGGCGGGAGCCGGAGGACGGGGGGGAGGAAGCGCAGGGCGTCCGGGCAGTCTCTCTCTCTCCAAAGGGGCAGCAGCATCGGGGATGGACAGACCTCCCTTCAGTAAAACGTGGTCCTCCTCCTCCTCCTCCTCCTCCTCCTCCTCCTCCTCCTCCTCCGCCTCCTCCGCCTCCTCCGCCTCCTCCGCCTCCTCCGCCTCCGCCTCCTCCTCCTCCTCCTCCTCCTCCTCCTCCTCCTCCTCCTCCTCCTCCTCCCCCAACTTATTCGGGGATGGACAGTCTCTCTCCCAGGGCAACAATAGCGCAGGACCCCCTTGTCCCTGGACCCCCTCCTGGGTCAACCCGACATTGCTGGGCCTGTTTTCCACCACCACCACCACAAGTGGGAGGGGGGAGGGGGTCCTCCTCCTCCTCCTCCTCCTCCTCCTCCTCCTCCTCCTCCTCCTCCTCCTCTTCGTCCTCCTCCTCGTCCTCCACCTCCCCCCCAAAAAACTTATTCGGGGATGCTTTCGTAAAACGCGGTCTAGTGAAAACGGCCTCGGGCCCAGACCTGACGGGCGCAGGCCTGGAAAATGACGGCCGCGGCGCCCTCTCGAGAACCGAAAACGGACAGTTCACGAATCGACGTGTCAGGGTAGGAGGTCTCTCCACCCCCGACAATAGCGCAGGAGGAGGGCCACGGTGACAGGGCCACGGTGGCGTGGAGCAGAGTGGAGCACGGTGGGCGACAAGCAAGCCTGCGATGACGCTGGGATGGAGCGCAGGCGAGGCGAAGGAGGGGAATCCATGCGCCGCGCGACGCAGGGCCCCCCTCCCGCGGAAGGAGGAAACCACATCCGGCCGAGGGGTCGTGGGGCTAAGGCGGAAGTCGCTCCATGGATGGGGCCCCGGGGAGCCCACAGCGAGCTAGCACGCGTCCAACAACCTCGCTCCCCGACCCTCGGCCGCTTCTCCTCGCCGCAGGTCGGCCTCGACTCCGCCCTCGACTGCTTCCCCTCTGGGGAGACCTGCCCTTCTTCCATGTGGTCGCTCGGCCAAGCAAGCAGCCAACAGAGCACAGGCACGAACAGAGAGATCGCTCAGAGAGGCAACATAAGGAGAACCAGCACCTTCCGACTCCTGGCCATCTGGGCTGCCGGCTGTTCTGCATGGCCCATGCATGCTCTCTGCTTGGGGTGGTCAGGACCCCCCGGCGATCTTGGCTGAGTGCTGCTTGCTGTTGCCACTTGGGGGCCTGCTGGGCTGCTCCTGGGTCACCACTGAGATCCTGGGGAGGGCCCTCGGAGGTCCCCGAGGTCCCCAGTTGCGTTCAGCCGCGCAAGCGTGCGGTCGAAGACACGACCTGCCAAAAGATCGAGCCGTGGCTGCCGACTCCAACGCAGCGGCGTTTGGGATCGATGTTCGAAAACGTCGATACTTCCCGAGGTCAAGATTCATAGCGATCGATCGCTTTGAGAACCGACCTTCCAGGACCCAAGACGGCGTTGGATCTGAACATCTTTTGTCCCCAGAAGGCCCTGATGATAATTCATATCCACTGATTCCCGAGGTCCTGAGATCGGTTCCGAGAGCGGTGAGTATGTGTGAATCCCAGTTGCGAATCTTGGGTAGTCCTCGGATCCGCGTTGCGGCTTTACGTCTCTACGAGACAGACGATCTGGAGAAGGTTGGAGGAGGTATCGGAAGCGCCTAGCGCGCTGATGTGTGCATGCCATTTGCAACTCGCTTTACTTACGCGTGTCGTAGTATTATCCGCCACTATGCCCTGAGGCACGAGTTGGAGTATCCTCAAGTCCCTTGAGCCCCCAGCCCTCAGCCCTGGTAATTGAATATCATGCCGCCTGGACCCCATCCCGGGGCATGTCGGTTGTATGTTGCGCATGCTGGGGGCATGGCGGAATGCCCCCGCATGGTTCATCCGGGGCCACGAAGCCTCAAAACATGTCAAGGGGGCTTTAAGATGCGCTCATGTTGATCCAAGAAGGCCCTGGGTCGTCCCAAGAGAGCTCCAAGATGCGCAATATGAAATCACGACGGCCCAACAGGCCCCCAAGATGTCCAGAGGTCTGAAATAATCCGGCGCTGTGCATGAGGCGTGGAATAATGAAGCAAAGGTTTGCCTGTCAGGTTTTGTAATTCTCATAAGGGACCGCCCCGTTTTCCAACATGGTAACTAATGCCCGAACCCCCACTCCGCGCGTGCCCAGGAAGACTCCCGACGGCGTCAGACGGGCCAGGAGCCCACCAAGACGGCCCAAGATGGCTCCAAGATGGCCCAAGACGGCCCAAGAGGCACCGAAGACGTCTGCAAGACGGCCCCCCAGAGGTCTCGAAGAGGACCTCAGGAAGGACCGAAGAGGCCAAAGTTCTTGATTTGCCTTACGTAGGTGTTTGACAGATGTTGGCATTTGCTTCTTGTCGGCCTTCCAACGGCCCGAGACGGCCCAAGAGCACCCCAAGATCGCCCCAAGATCGCCCATGAGGCCTCCAGGATGGCCCCAGAACGGCCCAAGAGGCCCCCAACACGGCCCCAAGAGAGCTCCAAGACGGCCCAAGAGGCATCCAAGACGCCCGAGATGGCCTCCAAGACGGTCTCGGAGCACCCAAAGCGAGCCCCAAGTCGGCCCAGAGAGGCCCCCAAGACTGCTTGCGACGGCGTCAGACAGGCCAGGAATGAACTCAGACTGCCAAACAGGTCCCCGAGAGCCGCCAAAGGCCCCCAAGAGGCCCAAAGAGGCTCCCAAGATGCTTCCAACTCCTAGGAAGCTCCCAGGAGGCCCCAAGAGTGCCCCCAGAGGCTCCCAAGATGCCCCCCCTCCTCCTCTTCTTCCTCCTCTTCCTCCTCCTCCTCCTCCTCCTCCTCCTCCTCCTCCTACTCCTCCGCCTCCTCCGCCTCCGCCTCCGCCTCCGCCTCCGCCTCCTCCTCCTCCTCCTCCTCCTCCTCCGCCTCCGCCTCCGCCTCCGCCTCCGCCTCCGCCTCTCCGCCTCCGCCTCCGCTCCCTCCCTCCCTCCTCCCTCCTCCCTCCTCCCTCCTCCCTCCTCCTCCTCCCTCCTCCTCCCTCCTCGCCTCCCTCCTCCTCCTCCTCCTCCCCCTCCTCCTCCTGCTTCTCCTGTTTCTCTTGCTTCTCCCGCTTCTCCTGCTGCTCCTGCTTCTCCTGCGTCTCCTGCGTCTCCTGCGTCTCCTGCGTCTCCTGCGTCTCCTGCTTCTCCTGCCTCCCCTACTCCCCCTACTTCCCCTGCTCCTTGTCATGTTCCTTTCCCTGCTCCTTGTCCTGCTCCTCCTGCTCCTCCTACGTATCCTGCTCCACCTCCTGATCGTCCCCACCATGCTCCCCCAAGTATTCCCCGAAGGGTTTCTATAACGGCTGGGGGAACACATGGTCCGATAGCTTGGCAGAGCTCTTGCGCCAACATTTAGCCACTTGGGCCACTTGAGGCCACACGTCGGTGATTCACCGTAGTCGTGTTCGAAATCAATATTGAGATTAGCATTTTATCGCCCGTCGTATGATGATGGTTCTTGTTCGTGTTCGTCGACTTCGCCCCCTTCGAAAAGCCAGTGCCGACGATCGAACTGTCAAGGAAGCGGCGCACCACCGACACCACGGCCACATCGCAAGAAGTAGCGGCCGCCCGGTGAGCCACGGGACAACGAGCGGCCAGGGACACCTCGCGCACGTATGAACAATGATGAGGTATGCCGTTGGCTTGTTGCGTCTTGTTCGTCTTCGTCGTGTTCATCCTATGTCGGGGAGGGGGAGAAAGGGAGACAAACGGAGAAACCAAATAGGGAGAAAGAGAGAATGAGAGAGAGGGAAACAACAACAGCAACCACAACAACAACAACAGCAGCAGCAACACCAACAGCAACAACAACAACAACAACAACACCAGCACCAACACCAACACCACCACCACCACCACCACCAACAAAACAACGATTTTCAGACTGTTCGCTCTTACTGGCACGCGTGTCTTGCATTCCGTATACCCCAACCCTCGATACCCGCCCACTTCGTCTCCGATTGTACCCCCTTTCGGGAGGAATCTCTTCCGTGTCGGCCACTGACTGAAGCGCGAATAAGACTCGAGCGAGAGCACCGTTCCTGAGTTCGGGGGTCTCTCTGGCCAGGGGCTCTCGGAATACCTATGGAGAAATATCGAACGGGAGCCCTTGTCGCCGCGTCCAGGCCTCCACCAACGTGCCTGATGTACGGGAAAATCTCGAGCGAGAGCGCCGTTCCTGAGTTAGGGGGCCGCCTTGGCCAGGGGCTCTCGGAGTAAACCGTGAGGAAGTATCGAGCAGGAGCCCTTGTCGTCGTGGCTGGGCCTCTGCCAACTTAATTGAATTGCGAGGACGTCTCGAGCGAGAACGCCGTTCCTGAGTTCGGGGGCCTCGCTGGCCAGGGTGTCGCGGGGTACATTGTGAGGAAGTATCGAGCGGGAGCTGTTGTTGTCGTAGCTGGGCCTCCAACGGCCCACATTTAGGCTCAAGCCAACGCTCGAGCGGGAGCCTAGAGAGCGCGGAACCGTTTCTGGAGATCAACAACAACAGCAACAACAGCAACAACAACAACAACCACAACAGCAGCAACACCACTAACAGCAGCACCAGCAGTAACATCAGCAACAACAGCTGCAATAACAACAGCGGCAGCAACAACAACAACAGCAGCAGCAACAACAACAACAGCAACAGTAACGACAACAGCAACAACAACAATTATGTTAAGAATGGTTGCTCCAATCTGCCCACGTGCCAATCAATACGTATATCCCAAACCCTCGGTACCCGCCCTCGTCGTCTCCGATCGTATCTCCTTGAGGGTAGATCTTCCAGATCTACCACGTGCATTTAGTGCAGCCCCTAAAACAAAGAGAGAACAGGTGGAAGGGGAGGGAAAAAAATGGAGCACGAGAGAAATTAGCTGGAGGGGGGCAAGGAGCAGAAAACAAGTGGTAGAACCAGACGGGCAGATCGGGCAGGCAGACCTATAGCGGGCAGGTCGGGAAGGCGGGCCCAGGCGACGAGGTCGAGCATGCGGGTTGCTGAAGCATGGGTCCTGCATGAATCGCGAGAAAGTCTCGAGCGATAGCGCGATTCCCAAGTCAATCGTGAGAAAAGCCAGAGCGAGAGCGTGATTCCTGAGCGCAGAGGGCGCATCGTTTGAACAAACTGCGAGGAAGTCCCACGCGAGGGCGCGATGCGTACATGAATTGAAAGGAAATCCCACGCGAGTGCGCGACTTGGAAATACATTTTGAGGAAGTATCAGGCGGGAGCCGTTGTTGTTGTAAACCAAAGGGCCAGGGGCCCAGTTTGAGCCCCGTGACTTTCCCTGATAAAGAACAAGGGTGCGAGCCCCGAGGGAAGCACTTCATTTGACAAAACGCCATCGTCATCGGAGGGAGGGGATCAACAATAATTATTTTTCAGTAGTGAGAATTCAGCACCAGCACCAGCACCATCACCACCACCAACAATAACGAAAAGACATAGAGAGAGAGAGACAGAGAAAAAGACAGAGACAGAAAAAGAGAGAGAGAGAGGGAGAACTGGGGAGGCGAAAAAATACCGATACCGCTACTCCCCGGACCTCTCCCGGGGTGCGTTCTGACCGGGATTTCAAGGCGAATCCAGCGATGGCGACGAAGGCCTCCCAGGAGGCCCAAACAACGCGAAAACGGGGCGAAAGATAGCGGTACCCAGAGATCAGATGCAAATATTTTTCCAATACGCGGTCCCAAGAAGCCTGGATACCCCAGGACCGGTTTTTTTGTCCTGAGTTTTTGCTGACGCTCCCGAAGCCCGGCGAGGGCCCCTAGGGGCCGAAACTTGCGAAAAACCTCCGTCTTGATTGTTTCAGTGCGCTGGACCTTTCCGCTTCCCTCCCCCGACAAACCGGGGCTCGGCGTGCCAAGGCTCGGATCTCGGACGACATGTGTTTTCCGATCCGGGCGAGGAGGAGGAGGAGGGAACGGGGGAGGAGGAGGACACGGGGGAGGAGGAGGAGGAGGAGGAGGAGGAGGAGGAGGAGGAGGAGGAGGAGGAGGAGGAGGAGGAGGAGAGGAGGAGGGGGAGGAGGAGGAGGAGGACGACGACGACGAGGAGGACGAGGAGGAGGAGGAGGGCGCCGCGCCGGGGCCTTGCCCCTCTTGGCGCCGCCGCGCCTGCGCGAGCGCCTGCCGCTCGCCGCGACCGCCGCGGCCGCGCCCGCGGCCGCGCCTCGGGGGGCGCGGGGGGCCCCTGCCGCTGGGCTGCTGCCCCGGCCGCGTTGGCCCCAACGACGCCGCCGCCGCCGACGTTCGTCGTCGTCGTCCTCGTCGTCGTCGTCGTCGTCGTCGTCCTCGTCGTCGTCGTCGTCAGCGTCCGTCGTCGTCGGCGTCGTCGTCGTCGTCCTCGTCGGCGTCGTCCTCGTCGTCCTCGTCGTCGTCGTCGTCAGTGTCCGTCGTTCGACTCCCGTCGTCGTCGTCGTCGTCGTCGTTGCCGCCGCCGCCGCCGTCGCCGTCGCCGTCGCCGTCGCCGTCGTCGTCGTCGTCGTCGTCGTCGTCGTCGTCGTCGTCGTCGTCGTCGTCGTCGTCGTCGTCGTCGTCGTCGTCGTCGTCGTCGTTGTCGTCGTCGTCGTCAGCGACACCCCCAGATGGGGTCCGGAGTGGATGGCGTCGGAGGATCGCGCAGCATCGGCGATGCATCGGCGATGCGTCGGCAATGCATCGGCGACGTCGGCGGTGCATCCGCGACGCCAGCGCGGATTACCTCAGGCTCCAGCGATCCTCCGACCCCATCTCCTCATACCGCACTGAGGAGGCATAGGTAAGACTGACAAGCACCAGAGCGATAACAATCACAGGGGCACCTCAAAAACTGGGGGGCAAGATCTGCATCGAGAAAAGGTGATGCCAAACATGGGGATGGGGAAAAGTTTCAGATTGGTGAGGAGTCGGAATCTCCGCAGCGAACCGGTTCGACCCGGCAGCTGCGGATATCGAACCGAATTGAGCCGGAAGGCGGCTAAAGGATAGACAGCATGAGTTGCGGGAAATCATGATGTCTACGGTCTACGTTCGCCCGCTGCCCTCGACGCCTCACGCGCCACAGGCTGAGCGCCCGGCCAGAAGAGGCCCCGAGCAAGGGGCACACAACTGCACATACGGCCGCAGCCTACCAGGGGGCGAGGCCCTCTGGAGGCTGCTCCAGGGACCACATTTGGCACGCATACGCAAACACGATGGCGTGGAAAGGGGAGAGAACGGAAACAATCCGGAGACGATACGCAAACCAGTTGACACATCTCAGTGCTATGTAACAAGGCGACAACAAAACCGAGGAATATCCCCTCGGGCGGGTCGGCGCCCGCCTCGTGAGCCCAGGTTGGTTGGCCACTCGGCCTTCATATTCCTGGTCGACACCTCCCACCTGTGATGTTTAGCCCGCTTTTTTCTGCCTGCTGGGGTGGGGTGCTGCCTTCATGCAGCGACCATGCCCGCAGCAAGTCGGCCACCTCCATCGGGAGTATCGCGGCGACGACACCCGAACTTCCAACAAAATACTGACCATCTGTTATCGCAGTTCCATGAAACACTTGCACCCCCCTTTGGACTTCAGACAGGAGGGGCAGTGGGACGGGTTTCTCCTGGGACCAGATTCGGTGGAATTGGGCCCCCAGGCACCTCCAAAGACGGAGCCAACCCAAAACAGAAAACTTGCCAGGTCCGCTTTGGCAGTGCATGCAAACAGACCCAGGAACAACCTACATTGGCTAAGCTGTGCCCGAAAGACTTCTCGAGCAGCTGTCTGACAAGCCATGGCTTACTGGCACGCGGCTCCTTGCTCGGGCAGTTGTGCGTATCTCTCTCTTCCTGGGCGGCGGACGACTTACCAAGTGGCGAACCTTCGCTGTGCGAGCCACGCCGCGAATTTGGCAGCTGCTAGGGCCTGCAGCTCAGCATGTTCCTGGGCACACTTTTTGCTAGACTCCGGCCCCTCGAAACACGGAGAGTCTGATTGCACTCAAGTTGGGAAGAGCACTTGCTGCCATGGTCTGCCTACCGCTGCACCCCTGAGATCGCCCACCAGCCCGCTGCATGTCCCGAGGCACTATCGGCGATGCTGTGCCCGACGGCGCAGAACGACCTGCATGCCCGCGAAGACCCAAGTCGGGCCCAGGGAGAGCTTGAAGGCCCACCCGCAGGCCGCGAGCTCAGCACACGAAGTCGCTTGCACCCCACCGACACTCCCGCACGCTCCGAGGCGGATGACCTCGGGATCGTTGTCCTCGACCTGCTGCACAGATGGGGCGGAGTACACTTCAGCGAGCGAAGAACGGTATGACATACACTTTTTCGCGGTCGGGGGCGCCTGTCCCTGAGCGGCTGGAAACTGTATACCCCCTACGGTGGCACCGTAAGGGTATAAACTTTGCAGCCGCCCTGGGACAGGCGCCCCCGACAGCGAAAAAATGTATGTTATACCGTTCTTCGCCCGTTAAACACTCCCCAGCCCGCACTCGCGATCCGCTTGTCCGCTCTCGGCACCGAGCCGCCAGGAAGGCCAGCTTGCTGATGGTGCGCTGGCGGTGACAGAAGGTGCCGTCTGGCAGCATCTTGGGGACCTTCCAGTCCAGATCATGTGATTCCTGCTGGTCACCCCGAGGCAGGGGCGGTGGCACTTTGTTGCAAGCACTCGGAAGCACGCCACGCTCCCACAACTCCAGGGTCACTCCGTTGGCGAGGTCTTGTGCCGCTTCAGCACGCAGCCTCTCGCTCTCTGATCCACGTGTGGTCGGTGTCCAGCGTGCGCTTGCACTCCCACACCCTTCAAAGATATGCTGCCCCGGGTCAACGCAAACCCGGGCCATTCGGGCGTTGCAGGATCATGCCGCACATGAGAATCTGGACTGCGTCCGTCGGCGGCCCAGTTCGACGTCTGCACGTGCGTTAGTCTGCACGTGAGTACCCAGCTCGATCGTCCCGACTGGAGGCTGCGCACCGAACGGCGACGGAATGCTCGGCTGGAGGGCAGTCTGCCGGCGAGCTCCGCCGGAGGCCGCAGCCGGGCGCGCGGAGAGCGGGGTCGAGCGAGGCCGCGCGCAGGCAGGCAGCGGGCGAGCAGACGTCCTCATCCCTTTCCTCCTCCTCCTCCCCTCCTCTTCCTTTCCTCCTCCTCCTCCTCCTCCTCCTCTTCCTTTCCTCCTCTTCCTTCTCCTCCTCCTCCTCCTCCTCCTCAGGCACTGGACGCCGCCTGGCCATTCATTCGTAGCCACCACAACTAGGGTCACAATTGGGCTAAGAATGACACAGCGACCTGACGCGGTGGCTCCTGAGGGCCGCCAGCGCGGCGCGCTGCACTGCAGCGAAGGCGCTCCATGCGCGACCTTACGTGGGCAGCTTACGAGCCAGTGTCCCTGGCCCGATCATGCTCCCAGATGTAATGCTAACATGTCCCGCTCAACCTTGCAGACACCGCTCCACGATGATGCACCGTGGGCAAGATCACCCAGCAGCGTGTCGACTCACTTGCGACGGGATCTGCAGCATCGAACCCGTTCACCTGCACATGGCTTTCCCGCCAATTTCTGCGCGCGCTGCTGGGCAAGCGCTGCGGGCGCACAGCTCCGCTTCGCGAAGGTCCTGCAAGGGAGGCCTTGCAACGCTCGTCCAGTCGCCCCAGGCCAAGCTGTCAAGACCCATCATAATGTCTGCGGCCCCAGTTGCTGGAAGCGCAGGAACCGTGCCTCGCCGGACGGCAGGAGGACGCGCTCGAGCGGACCGCGGACCGCCATGCCGACGCCGCCCCTGAGGGGCAACGACAGGAGGGGAGGAGGAGGCGGAGGAGGAGGAGGAGGAGGAGGAGGAGGAGGCGGAGGAGGAGGAGGAGGAAGAGGAGGAGGAAGAGGAGAAGGAGGAGGAGGAGGAGGAGGAAGAGGAGGAGGAGGAGGAGGTCACTCTGGGGAGGGCCGGCTCGAGGTGAAAAAAACATCGCCCCGGAATCGGCGATGCATCGCCGACGGATCGGCGATGGGCACCCGGTACCGAATCCGCCCGCTCCTGTGCGGGGTGGGCCGTCGGCCCCCTCATCGGGCCCCCTCCAGATTTCGTAATAAAAGGGAGGGGGTCTCAACCCTCCCAGACGAGAAGTTTTAGACCCCCCCCCCCGTGGGAGAACCCTCCAAAGCATCGTCCCCAGACCCCCCCAGGCCCTCCAAGATAGCCTGGAAGAGACCCCCCCGAAATGAGGCCCCCCTCCCTTTATTACGAAATCTGGAGCACCGGTGCCTGGCGCCGCGCACATCGCGGCGCCTCGCCTTCCGCCCCCGCGCTGGCCCTCGCGCGCTCAGGGCGAGGTCGCGGTCGAGGTCTGCCCCGTGGAAGCGGCGACGAGAGGCGGCGACGGCCTGGGAGACAAAGTGAGGTCGCTCGTCCTTCCCGGGAGAGCGAGGCGGGGATGCATCCGTGTCCACCGCCTGGGGAACCGATGTCCTAGGGCCCCAGCAGGCATTGGATATGCATATAGTTGGGACCCCCGGGGCCCATACATCTCTAGACATGTGCATGCAGATGTACATATATATGTGTATATATAGATGTTGCAGTATGCAGTACTGCATCAACTTATATAGACACACATCTATATATATATATATATATATGAATACCTATATATAGATATGTATATATATACACACATAATACTTCTTAGAAACTTGTCCTGCTGGCCACTCTGGCCGACATGTGACCACCGTCGCCGCCTCGTCGCTGCCCGTCGCCGCCCGTCGCCTGGGCCTGCGGGCCGCTCTGTCGCAGTGTGGCCGCCGTGGCCGCCTCGTCGCCGCCCGGGCGCCTATCGCCGCAGAGCGCGCCAGTGGCGGCGCCGCAGAGCGCGCCAAGGATGCCCGGCACCGAGGAGGAGGAGGAGGAGGAGGAGGAGGGGGAGGAGGGGGAGGAGGAGGAGGAGGGGGAGGAAGAGGAGGAGGAGGAGGAGGAGGAGGAGGAGGAGGAGGAGGAGGAGGAGGGAGGCGGGCGGCTTCTCAGAAGGCCAGGGGTGGGCCCGTACAAGTCGTGCGAGTGCTCAGGCGCACCCCCGGGATCTCCGAAAAATTAGGTTTACGCTGTTAACTACTACAGTAATCGAGTAGCCCTGAAGACTCTTTAGAACCCCCCCAATAGGGGGCAACTAATGATTTGCTCGGCGGCGTTCTTGAAGGACTGGGGTCCCACCCGCCGCGCAACAACGACGACAGATACAACGACGACGACGACGACGAGGAGGTTTGAGGACCAGTCCCCTTCACCGCCGACAGACCTTTAGCGGTCAACGCCCAAGAGGTACATTGTCTCTGGCCGTCTGGCGATCGGCACTCACAGAGCATTCAGCTGTTGTGATGGCTCACAGGCTTGGCTAGAGATAGTGACGGTCCCCCAAGGAGGGTGAGGGGGAACGTGTGGGTGGAACCGGCTCCGGGGGGGAACCCCCGATGGGGAAGCCGCACGTTCCTGGGTAGGGTGGGCGATTCACCTTAAAAACGCCTTGGGCGTTTTTCTACCGTTTTGTACATTGGGATCATGACAAGCTAAAAACGCTTGAACAACGAGACGATTTTTTATTTGTTTCATTTCATGGATTGCTTAGCGTGCTTAGGCCCGCCGCTGTGCATTAAAAAAAAAAAAAAAAAAACTTGTTGCTTTATCATCGAAGGCTGATCCTTGTCTGCTCTGCCGTCTTCGCTCCCGCTCTCCCTTTCCTGCTAATTCCCGTACCTTCCGCTCCGCGCGCAGATCAAGAAACAAACAAAATAATGCCCTGGCACCAGTCTAGCACCAGCGCGAAACATGCCCCTCTTCCAGCAAGCAGCGACGGCCAGAGAAGAGCAAAAGGAAAGCATACAAATAATAATACGATTAGGGGGAAGACTACAGTAAGGACGCCGTAGACGCAGTGGTAAACACCGCAATCAACTGATCTGCAACACTTTGAGAAAAAATAGCTAAAAAGGCAAAACAACTGGTCGTTTGTTCAGGGTTGTGAGACCTAAAAACGCTAAAACAAATGATTTCCAAGACGCCGAATCAAAAACGATGAAAAAAAACCCAGGGCAAACCTAGAATGAACGAAGGCTATCCGGCACCTGCCGGAGATCCTTAGGCAATTGGGTGTCTATGCTCATCCCCCGCTGAGCCCATCCCCCCTCCCCTTACGTTGCCCTTGAAGGGGGGTAAAGTAAGGACAACACCTCTCCGCACTGAGCGACGAAAAGAAACAGGTCCTACGCGAGATCACGTAGCGGCACTACGCGATGGCTTGCGCGGGGTCCGCCAGCGCGACACGCTACACACTAAAAACAAAAACACTCACAAACGACCTTACACGAACAACTCACGCGCGAGTGCCGGCACAGCCGACCCCCCTCTCTTCCGTCACTCAACTGTGGATCGCCTGCCACTGGACAAGCGCGTCCCACTACTCGCAGAGCAGATACTCTATGTCGGGCGTGTCCCCCTACAGAGGGATTTTCTATGAAAAATAAAAACATTCGAAAAAACTACAAAAAGGTCAAAAAATACTAAAAAAAATAGTCCCGATACTATTGTTTGACTATTTTTTTACTATTTTGGTTGCATTTTTTACCTAACAGCGAAGACTGATAGGTTTCTAAGAGTGTCAAAAGAGAGCATCTTGACTCTCCAGGGGGGTCTGGGCGGGTGCCGGGGAGAACCCGCGGAAGTCGTTTTAAGCAGACAGTTACACACTTCGTGGTCTTCGAGGTCCCAGAACTCCATTCCTGGGCATGATTTTGAATGCCCGGAGCCAACTGTAAGCCACTGCGTGGTCTTCGAATTCTCAGAACTCTACTCCCGGGCCACATTCTGAATGCCCGGAGCCAACTGTAGGCCACTTCGTGCTCTTCGAGTTCCCAGAACTCCATTCCCGGGCCACATTTTCAATGCCTGGAGCCAACTGCAGGCCACTTCGTGCTCTTCGAGTTCCCAGAACTCCATTCCCGGGCCACATTTTCAATGCCCGGAGCCAACTGTAGGCCACTTCGTGCTCTTCGAGTTCCCAGAACTCCATTCCCGCGCCACATTTTCAATGCCGGGAGCCAACTGTAGGAGGAGCAGGGGCAAGAGCACGAGGAGGAGGAGGACGAGCAAGACGAGGAGGACGAGGACGAGCACGAGGAGGAGGAGGAGGAGCAGGAGAAGGAGGACGAGCAGGAGGAGGAGGAGGAGGACGAGGACTCCTACCTGCGAGGACGAGCAGGAGGACGAGCGACTGCGAGGACACCAGAACTCTACACCAGGACTCCTAGATGAATCTCAAGGGCAATGCTTCCAGATATGCTTCTACACATCGCTGTTAGGTTGCTTTGCCGGGATAATTATTTTTCTTCGAAAATCCCCCTGTAGGGGGACACGCCCGACTTAAAGCTACTCTCACATGGCCTGGATCCGCTGCGTCGGGGCAGACACGCTCCATTGCATCCAACAGCACACGTGTCCTGGACGCTTGCGAGCAGGCACTCCCTGCGAGTAGTGGGGAACGCGCTCGGGGAGCCGCTGCCCCCCCCCGACCACCGCCGCGAGCGCGCCTGCCGCCACCAGGCCCGCCGGCGACCCGGGCTGGCCGGCGGGCGCCGCTGCCGCCTCGCAGGCTGGGGGCCGGCCGCGCACCGTCCACGCCGCCGCTGGCGTCACTGGCCGTCGCTCGGACGTCCATTCCCTGTGCCTTTTTGTTCGCTTCCGTGCGTGGCTTTTTCTAGAGGGAAGAGAACTATGCACATACACCGATTCTGGCCAGGACCATCCTGAGCCCAGGAACGGTGCATACGCCCTCTTACCTTGGCCAGGAAGATATATGCACCGATCCGGGGTCAAGGATGGGCGTTGTCAGGATCGGTGCATGTGCATAGTTCTCTTCGCCCCATTCCCTGTGCCTTTTTGTCGGTTCCGTGCGTGGCTTCTTCGCCAAGTGATCCAGGATGCTCCTCGATGGCCCTCGCCGAAGGAAACAAATGCCCACGCCCGAGCGACGCCAAGGCGCATCGCCCACGCCGCCGCCGGCGCCGGCGTCGTCGGCGCCTCCGCGCCGAGGACGCCCGGCTCCGGGGCGAGCCGACGCCCTCGGCCCGGGCAGGGGGCGCTTTTCCTCGACTATCCTCGGCCTCCCCGGGGGGGGGGGCGCCGCCGGCGGGCCCCTGCAGGGCTCCCTCGGAAGCGGCTCTCCCGGGCCGAGCCCTGGCCAAATACGGGGCGGGTCCCCAAGGGCTTGACGACTTTTCGCCAGTCGACTTGTGGGGATCGAGCCAGATAAATCCAGATAAATGCGGGTAAATCCAGGTAGATGCAGATCAATCCAGGTAAATCCAGGTGAATCTGGGCAGATCCACGCAAATCCAGAGACTTTCAGGGAGGGTTGGAGCAGATTGCGGCCGCTCTGGCGCGAGTCGAAGGACGGCAGAAGTCGTTAAGCCTTTCACGAGCGGGGGAGGGGTCGGGGCCTCCACGAGAGAGCGCGTGCAGCTAGGAGGCCCCAAAATATGCACCACCACCGCCTCCCTCCCCCCCTCCCTCTCGCTGGAAACGAGGCGAGAGGAAGACTCGACGTGGTGGTGGTGTAGATTCTTTGGGCCCCCCATGCAGTGGACGCTTTGCCTGGGACAGATCCCCGGACAACGTCGGAGCCTGGAGAACCAACGGGGGGGAGGGGGGGGGGCGAACACGCGCCTGCCCAACCGACTCTCTCCCCTCTCTCCCCCCCCCCTTCCAGGGGGAAGGGGGTCGAACGCCCCCCCCCATCCACTCGCTGTCCAGGGGGGAGGGGGGGGGTCGAACCGCCCCCCCACCCTTAAGGCAGTTATCGCACTAGTGCTCGACCGAGCTCTTCTGGGATTCTACAATCGCAGGCTTTACCTGTCATAGCATCCCAGTGGGGCTCGATCCAACTCTCATATAGTCCTACTGTAGCTGGGTCCAGCTCCAAGTGAATCCATCCCTGGCTCGACCTAGCTCCAACAGTTTCCTACTATAGCTGGATCCAACTTTGACTTCCATCCTAGTCGGGCTTGGTCCACTCAAATAGAATCCTACTACGGCTGTATTCAGATCCATGTCAAATCCACCGACCGTTCGGCATGTGTGTCGCTGGCGTCGTCGTCGTCATCGTCGTCGTCGTCGTCGCCGTCGTCAGCGTCGTCGTCTGACCAAGGAAACTGAGGAACAAGGAAAAGGAACGTCGTAGTCTCACCAGCCCTTTAGGGCGTGATTGGTCTTGCGGATTTCCTTCGGGGACGGGTTTACGACTGGGGTCACAAGGCTCCCAATGATGTCCCAAGACGGCCCCGAGACGCCCCAAGAGGCCTCGGCTGAAAGGCCCAAACCACAGATTTTACTAAGGTTGTCGCCACATGTTGCCTCCCATGGGGGGGAGGGGCCCTCGTGTACTACGGTGCATCCTTTGATCGTTTTCGGCCAAGGTGGCCCCAAGATGGCCCTCGAGGCTCCACAGGGTGCCCCAAGATGGCCCCGAGAGGTGCCCAGGAGGTCCCAGGAGGCCCCAAGAGGCTCCCAAGAAACCCCCAAGAGCCCCCCCAGAGGCACCCTAGACGCCCCAAGAGGCCTCGGCCAGAAGACCACCATCATTCATTATTCAAAGGTTTTGGCCACATGATGGCCTCCTGGAGGGGGGGGACCTTAACAAGGAGCCCCCCCGAGGCTCCCAAGGATGCCCCAAAACGGCCCCGAGAGGTTCACAGGAGGCCCCATGGGGCCCCCAAGAGGCCCCCAAGATACCCCCAAGATGCCCCCAAGAGGCTCCAAAGAGACCCCCAAGAAGCCCCAAGAGGCCCCCAGAGGCACTCAAGACGCCCCACGAGGCCTCGGCGAGAAGACCAACATCCTTGATGTGCTAAGGTTATGGCCACCTCTCCCCCCTCCCCTCCGGTTCGAACCTCTCCCCCTTTCATGGCGAGGCCCTGGTTCGAATTGCCACCCCCCTTGCATTTCAGCCCCACCTCTCCACCAGTTCGAAGCCCCCCCCCCTTCGCAGCGTCCACAGAACTCGCTCCTGCTGACATCTGGGACCGCACATTGAATTACCCCAGCAGAGCACCCTGATAGCAGCAGAGGTGAAGAGGGGGGTCGGGGGGTACAGTGGAGGCCAGTCCATAAGAAAAACCTTCCACAAGAAACCCGACCCTGAGCCCCCAGGGTTGGAGGATAGCTGCGCGTGGGCGGGCGACGGCGAAGGCGCCGCCAACCGCCGACGTCGCCGCAGCCGTCGTCGCCTCCGCGCCCGTCGGCGAGGGCGGCCGTCGCCGCCTCGCTCATCGAGGAGTGCCGCCGTGGGGAGCGGGCGCCGGAGGCAGGGAGAGGGGGGGGGGGGGACGGGCATGGGCCGCATGGCGACCGGAGAGCGGTGCACCCCCCGCGCCCATCGCCCTCGAACGTTGCCGGGGTGAGGTGAGGACTGCAGCTCTGAAGGGGCCCTGGGACACACAAATAAATACACACAAATAAAAAGATCCCCTATATTTTCCTATATTTTCTGGTTTTTTGTCTTCCCCCCCACTTCCCGTATTTTCCCATATTTTCTGGGGAATCGACGATTCATTGTGTCTGTGTGTTTGTTCCCCTCCTGAAGCTCCCCCAACTGGGCGACGGAAAGGCACGGGCCTCACGCGAGATGGCATGCAAGCGGCCCTGCGCGGTGGCCTGCGCGGGGCCCGCCCGCGCGGCACGCCGCACCGGAGGCGAGGGCGCCGGGCCGCGGCCCCGCGCGGGCAGCTTGCGCGCCAGCGTCGGCAGAATCGAGCACTGGAGACGAGGGCGCCAGGGCGCGACCTTGCGCGGGCAGCTTGCGCGCCGGTGTAGGCAAAATCGAACACGCTTCTGGCGCCGCTCAGTGGAACGAGACAAGACTGAAGTCTTGCCGCGGGGAGCCGTCCCCGACACTTCAAAGCTGGAGAC